ATATATATATATATATATATATATATATATATATATATATATATATATTATATATAATATATAATATATAATATATATATGTATAATATACATATATATATATATATATATATATATATATATATATATATATATATATTATATATATTTATTATGATAGAAACGTTATTATCGTCAAAAGTTTATTCAATTTTACATTTTAATTACTAAAATCGTAATCAACCATAATTTCTTTCAATGAAGAAAACTAAAAATTTTCATCTAGACGAGAATTTTTATTTTGGAATCTTGAGCCCCGAACATATTTTTAAATTTGAGGCACGCAATTTTCAGCGTCAGACGCAATCAACGGTGATTTCAATTCAAATCCAAAATATTAATTTATCAATTTTTAATTTAAAAATTTTCATAAAAAATTGATGATTTTTACATCTTTGATAACATTTCTTAAGCATAACAAATGTTCTTTTATGATCAAAAAAAAGGTTACTACAAAAACTGCTTGCATCAAATGGAAAGATGTCACAATGCAATAATAATACTACCACTGACTGCAACTGCATCAACTACAACATTATCAACAACTGAAGTTAACGTCATTCAACAGAAAACATCAACACTATCCATCACCATTGAGTGATGACGTCACAATATTCAACATGTTGCAACAAAACATCATTAACATCACATTGTTCAACATGTTGCAACAACATAACATCAACGAGAATCAAACACATTAACTACGCACAACTTTTGGGATAACAATTTAAAAAGCGTACATTAATACTAATACTAATACAACGGCCACACATCTAAAACAACAACACAGCAACAACACAGCAACAACACAACAACAACACATCAACAACACATCAACAACATCAACAACAACACATCAACAACAACGCATCAATAACAACACTTCAACAACAACGCATCAACAACACATCAACAACAACACATCAACATCAACACATCAACAACAACACACTAACAACAACACATCAACAACAGATCAAGAACCAACCAGCAACCAGTGCCAGAAACCAACAAACAGGCAGCAAAGAAAAATAACATTATATTGAGCGGCGTGAAAAGCAGGCAGTAAAATAATTAAGACATCCATCACAGGCGCTCTGCCACCTAGATTCTATTAATATCCATATAATAAGCCCTATTCCAGACAACTTTTTAAAAAAATACCTCAATTTTTTTAGGGAACAAAAGTTAGAAACATATTTATTATATAGAAGGACACAGTGATTGAATTTTAATCCGGAAGAAAAGACGTTTGAAAATGTACCAAAGAATAATGAACGCTAACTCGATATTTCATTAAAAAAATATTAAAAATGAAAAAATCTTTTTTATTAATATTATCATAAATGAAGTGTGTGAGCGTGGTGTGTGCGTGGTGTTTGTGTGTGTGTGTATGTGTGTGTGTGTGTGTGTGTGTGTGTGTGTGTGTGTGTGTGTGTGTGTGTGTGTGTGTGTGTGTGTGGGACACATTACAAACACTTCATGTGCAACACATGCAAATAAATTATTTATTTTGCTTTGTATTTCAATGGGTTGCATCGTCTGAAAGAAGAGGCGAGTGTTTAACACTGGCGAATGAGGCACTTAAATGATCCTGAATTACATTTAAAAAAAACAATTTAAAAAAAAAATCTTATAATAACAATATCAATGATAATAATAACAATAACTGTTACAAATAAATATAATAATAAATATTATTATTATTATTAACTATTATAATAATTGATCAATTTATATTTAATTGTAATTTTTATTTATCTTTTGGCTTTTGAAGAAATAAAAGAGTTCTCATTAATAATAAATATAAAAGTGTAACACTTGAAAAAAGTTTGCAAAATAAAATTGAAGAAGAGCCGTGGAACTGACTGAATGCAAGTAAGTATTCGTTCGTATTCAGAAATTCAGAACATGCACGAACATCAAACTCGAGTGCGGGCAAACAAACTGACGCAATAACAAACATTCAATCAAACAATACAAACTTGTATGTAAGTGTGTATACAGATACACACATCACCAACATACAAAGTTAAAATACAAACACACAGAGTTGGTATACAAATACAAATTCGCAAAGTTGGTATACAAATATACAAAGTTGTATGTTAACTTTATATTACTAACTTCTTTCTACCTGGTACTAACTTCAAGCAAACATATAAGTGTATACAGATGCATGCATCATCAACATAGAAAGATAACATATAATATACAAAGTTAGTATACAAATATGCAAAATCAACATTCAAATATACAAAGTTAGTGTACAAAAATACTAATTTAACATACAAATATACAAACAGAAACAGAAAAATACTAAAATAACATACATAATTACGCAACAAGACAGATATACAAACAAACAAACATCTTGGCATGCAGACATTCGCGCAGACGAACAAACAAATAAAGGAAAACGCTCAATCAAATGCCGGTGATGATGACGGTGAGGATGGCTCTAATAATAAGAATAACATTAACAACAACAACAACTATATACAAAAGTTTTCTGTGGAATTGAAATATAATAAATAAGAAGTTTTGGAAACATAAAAATATGCACCAGGACATGGTCAATCCTTCACTGATTCGCATGGCTGGTTGTTTATTTTGACACACACCAAAGATTGTAAAAGTAACATTACAACATTTTCTGCGTGTAACAGCTTAGACAACAACTCGGACAATAACAAAAAATAACAGCCGCAACAACTTCAGTTAGTACAGTTCAAATACGAACAACTACTAAAATTAAAATGTAATTAAACACAACTAAACAAGCAACAACAAACTAATTAAATGATAACAAAGACCTGAATAACGTCAGATAAATAAACATAGTCTACAACAACAAATTCAACGACAACAACAACAAACAAACAACCAAATAAACAAACAACATTCTAATCGCATAGCAACACAACAAACAACACAAACCAACAACACAAACAAACATCACAAACAAACATCACATACAAACAACATCACAGACAAAAACGCAAACGACACATACAAACAACACAGACAAAACCGCAAACAACAACACAAACAGCACAACACGAACAACAAACAACAACAACAACAAAAGAAACAACAGTTGCAAAAGAGGAGGACAACTAGGCAATTAGAATGTCTCTTGTTTAGTAGCTTGAATGATGGCTGATATGTTGCATTGGACGGCTGTTGTACCACCGATGCATCAGTCATGCGCGTTATTGATGGAGTCAATGGAGATAATATATCGTCCACACCACAAGAGCCACAACTACCACTCACTACTACTACTACTACTACTGCTGCTGCTACTACTACTGCTGCTGCTGCTGCTTCTGCGACTGCAATTAACTACAACAAAAGTTATATGACAATGGTGGTCCTGGCGAGGGTAGTGGTGGTGATGAAGACGACGATGATGGTGATGTTGTAATGGTAGTGATTGTAACGATGACGACGACGGTGATTAAGATGATGATGGCGAAGATGATGGTGGTGATGATGATGATAGTGATGAGGGTGGTAGTGTTAATGGTGGTGGTAGTAGTGTTTTGGTGGTGGTGGTAGTGGTAGTAGTGTTTAAAACTGAAGAGCAATAAATTATTTAAACAATTGTGTGGGTTTTAAAGATTATTGATGGCAAACGTCGGATCATCATAAGATAACTTGGACTTTACGATGACGGTGATGATGGTGATGATGTTGATGATGTGTGGCGATGATGTTGATGATGTGTGATGATGATGATGATGATGTGTGGCGATGATAACAAGATAACAATGATGATGATGACGATGATAATGACGACAACGACGATGATGATAATGATGATGATGATGACGACGATGATGATAATGATGATGATGATGACGACGATGATGATGATAATGATGATGATGATGATGATGACGTGTGATGATGACGATGATGTTAATGACAGTAGCGAAACACTAGTGGAAAAAAAACTCTCCATCATGATAAGTTGGTGATAAAGGTGATGGTAACGATGATAAAAGGAATAATAAAAAACAGAGAAAAAAAAGAAAAAGAAAAAGAAGAAGAAGAAGAAAAAAAATAAGAAGAAGAAGAAGAGGAAGAAAAAGAAGAGGAAGAAGAAGAAGAAAAAGAAGAAGAAGAAGAAGAAGAGAATAAAAATATGAGGTAGCAGAAGTTGAAAAGGATGCCGCAAAAAAATGATGAAGCTTCTATTTTTAGTTGCAACTGTGGCTAACAAGTACAAACAACTGCAAATAATGGAGCACAAAGCACATCGGTTGAATCAACAACACAACCACCCAAAACATACAAACATACAAACCACAAACAACAACATACAAACAAACAACTATAACAACTATAAAAACATACAAACAAACAAACAACTACATACAAACAACAAACAATTACAGCAACATACATACAAAAAACTACAACATGCAAACAACATTCAGCTACAACAACATACAAACAACGTCAGAAGAAGCTGCTGCAACAAAAATCAACAACCCAACATCCTGAAAAAAAAGTAGAAAAAGGAAAAGCGAAAAGAAGCAAAGAGAGGCGCTCACGCATACCCGCTTCTTCTTGCAGTTTATTTAATGGCGGACTTTTTAGTTGTTCCTTTGGGAGTATTCAATAACAATGCAGTAAAGTCTCAACTGTCTTCTGCTTTCTTTATTACTCCTGTCACATGGATGGCTCCTCTTTGCTTCAATCCTCTTTTCTACTTCCCATTCCGTTTCTCTACTCTTCATTTTTTTCTGCTGTCATTTTTAAGTCTCTCTCCCTCTATCTCTTTTTTTTCGTCAGTTTTCACGAGTTTGTTGGTTCGTGAGGCTGGTTACGTTGGGGTTGTTTCAGTAGCAGGCAACAACCTTTCAATGTTGTGGTAAGTGTAGTTGTTGCAGTTAGTTGCAGTTAGGTTCTGCTGAATTTCTGAAGTGTTTGTACATTTTTGGTTGTTGTTGATTGTTGTATTTGTAGTTGTTTTGTGATGATCTGTGTTTGTTTCTGCTGTTGCTTTCTCCTTGTTGAGTGATGCTTGTTGTTTCACCACCCTGATGATCCACGTACGTGCTTGCCGCAATTCTGTTCTGAAAGCTATCTTCCAATGTTATTGTTAGTAGGTGGTGCTCCTGATGATGAGGATGATGATGATGATAATGATGATGATGATCACGATCATGATGATAATGATGCATCGGGTGGAAGTTTTTAAATGTAATCACCTGAATATCATCCTTGTAGTTGTATTGCAACGTTATTTATCATCTTAACATCTTTCTTGTCTTGTCTATATAGCAAGTAATATGCTGATAAATCAATGGTATCAAAAAATTTTTAACGTTAGTTATTGTCAGTTTTATGTTTTTGTTACTCGTATTAATTATTCTTCGTCAATATGGTTGGATACATTAATGATTGCTAATTTTTCTTTCATCGCCAACGTTGAACGTGCAGTCTTCAATGTGTCTTTGTTCGTGTTGAGCCATCCACTCTGGCAAAGTGCTTGCAATTGCAAAGGTATAACAAAATCCTACTGACGCAGTTCGTTTGATGTTCCTTTCCGAATTATCATTTATGAGGCCACAAAAATATTTATTCGACCAAGTGATTTGCCGGCCTGCCTTGATGTTAATAATTTCATGATTGCCAAAGATCATACGTAACATCCCGATGGTACAACTAAAACTCAAATGTAAAACGCCGTGTTTCTCGTAAAGAGCCGATAGCAATAATTGTAAGTAGTGAACTGAACATCCTCAAAATAAATATTTAACGTCTATAGGATTAGATCTCACTCTTTAATTTGAATGAATGTTTCTTAGCTAGAAATTTTTTTAATGAATTATTTCGAAAAAGTTTTGGAGGTTTTTATTTTTTCAAAAATTTTCGTTTAAAATGTTCTCAAAATTCGCAATGCATTTTACATTTTTAGGCATTGAAACTTCTTAAATTCAATGAAAAAACTTTATTTATTTATTCAATACATGTATATTTTAGCTCAATTGCATTTAAATTTTGTTGTAACCGTTGGAGAAATTGAAATGACAGTTGAAATAATATTTACGCCGGTGTGTCTCAGGTCGTCGCAGATGTCCGCATCGCCGTCGCGGTTGCTGTCGCGGTTGCCGCTGTCGCTCGACCGTTGAAAGTTGTAAATCAAACAGAATGAAGTAACACGTAAGGGAAAAGAATAAATAACTTGAGACAACTAGGAACAAACAACAACTGCACAATTATTTACAGCAACACAACAACAACAACTGCATAATTATTTACAACAACACAAAAACAAATGCATAATTATTTAAAACAACACATCAACAACTGCACCATTATTTACAACGACACGAAGATGCACAAAACGCAAAAAGATTAATTACAAACGAAACAACCACAACAAAACAGCGATTTACAACAACAAACCAGTCACCATACCAACAACAACAACAACAACAACAACAAAGCATTTATTTACAACCAGGCAACCAGCATAATCTAAAACGAACCTGTGCTAAATAAACGACTGAGAAGATTTTAAATAACGGAACGAGACAGTGTTAATCAGCAGTGCTGCTCTGCAAACAAACGAACCCATCACTAAAAATATTTACATAACGTTTGCAAAACTTGCTTTCAAAAATGACAGCTTAAATTTTGGAAGAAAAATCTTTGTAACAGTGAATGTGAAGAGGTCTGTTTGCGCTACATTAACACCACAATCGCATTTAAAACAACAACAATAACAACAACAACACTTAGAGTAACAACGACAACAATGACATTAGCAACAACGTGACAACAATAAAGACAATACCAGCAGCGGTAACAACAGTATCAATAGTAGCATAAAACAACAAAGACAATCCATAAAAAATGCCAACCCAGCTATAAATCAACAATTATTCTCTCAGCATGTGGCATCAACGCGGGCTACGACAATTCCAACACCAACAACTACATTGCCAGCGTCAGAAACAACGACAGCGGTTCTGACATCAAAAGAAAATTAACTTTTAAAAAATATTAACACCAATATTATAAATTACAACAACAACAACAACATAGACACATAACAACATATTTAAAGAAACAACACCACGTTAACAACAGAAACACATAACACCTAACAACAACACATAACGATTAAAAACAACAATGGCACAACAACAATAGAAACACATAGAAACAGCAACGGCACGACAACAACAGAAACACATAACAACAACAGCAAAACCTCTTTCAGCAGCATCATTCAGCAAATCATTCCGGCTGACGTCTGAAGAATGACTAGAGAATGTGAAAGTGGAAAAATTAGGATCCACAAATCTTAAAATGCGTGGCGCTCACTAGTTTTGCATTGTTCGTGATTCTTAACTGGAAGTGTATTGAGAGAAAAGGGAAGGAACTTTAGATGCTAATGCAATGGTTGAAGTCGCCAGGTCTTGTGCTGCAGGGGCAGGGTTCGATTTCAAAGAGACCCACCTGTATCATTTAGAAAAACGTTTATCGAAAAAGTTGGTTCTCTAATACCGTGTGTGTGTGTGTGTGTGTGTGTGTGTGTGTGTGTGTGTGTGTGTGTGTGTGTGTGTGCGTGCGTGTGTGCGTTGTTCAAATAAATATCAAAATGTATCTTCTTAATAACAATCAACATGTATCATTCAAATAAATATCAACATGCATTCTTTTAATAACAATACATGTATTGGATTGTACACGGACTGAACTAAACTGGACTCGTGCATTAGTTAGAAATCGTTGTTTAATTCATTGAACGTTTATTTATTTTCATTTTATTATTTTTTGTTAATATTATATTATATAAATATTATTTATAATAATAATTAATTATAGGTTAAATTACTTTCAGCAATAAATTCAGTGAGTTTAAGAGCGGTTGAGTGCCAATGAGTATCGATTCATCAGTAAGAAGAAGGATGGTTTTCAAGTTAAACTTTTAAGACAAAATATATGCAATGTTCTGAAGATGACGATAAAGATGATGGTAATGAAGGTGATGATGACGACGATGATGAAAACGATGAAGATGATGGTGACGAAGATGAAGAAGATGATGATGGTGGTGGTGGTGATGATGATGACGACGATGATGATGAAAATGGTAATAATGCAGATGCTGCTGCTACTACTGCTGCTGCTGATGATGATGATGATGAAGATGGTGATGACGATGACGACGACAAAAAAACTGATGATGACTTTAAAGATGATGGTGATGATGATTATAAATATCGATAATGCAGTGAATGGACGTGTTAATTTTTTTTATCACAGTCAACGAACGTGATTAATGTGAAGAAGGGAAGGGTAATTAAAATAACTTTTGCTGTGTCTATGAATAACGATGATGATGACGATGATGAAAATGATGATGAAGATGATGATGAAGATGATGATGAAAATGATGATGAAGATGATGATGAAGATGATGAGGATGATTAGGATGATGATGAAGATGATGATGACGATGATGAAGATGATGATGAAGATGATGATAATGATGACGATGATGAAGATGATGAGGATTAAGACGATGAATATGATTACGATGATGATGAAGATGATGACGATGAAGATGACGATGACAGAGATGATGCTTATGACGGTAATGAATGATTTTGTTGATGACTATGATTATAGCATACATGAGAGAAAGATGACGACACTGATGATGGTGTAACAGCCTAACGAGTTAACTTATTTTCACAAGTACACACGTGGATTTAAATTTTTTTAGCTACTTTTTTAAAAAGCCCTAAAAATACGACTGAAATTCAGGTTGGCAGGCATGCAGGCAGGCAGATACTATCACATGGTCAGTCCGGAAGCTTTCTTCTCCTACTTTGATTTTTTGTTTTTTCATCGTCCTTTAATTGTCCACTCGAAGTCCTTTGATGCTTTCCAGCTGAACATGCAGAGGAGAATGAATAGATACAAGTCCAAAAAGTTCATCAATATTTGATGGGGTCAGTAAAAGTTTTTTGTGACTGGCGGAAAGACGTTGAGGAGGCATAAATGACAATAGCTGCTGGCTTGGATTGGATGCTTTCAACGGCAGCACAATTAGACTATCCACTCATTCTTTCGTTTATTCACTCAATGATTATTTGTACATATAGATGCACACTTTCAAAGATATCCACAATTTTTGTTTTAATTAACAATATCATTCACTCGTATTTAAAAAATGTTTGCATTAAATTTCTTGCTAACGTTATCTTAATTCAACATGATCATTCAACATAATTCTAATACATCTCTCTTCGCATTCGATACTCGCCGATAAGCCACAACTTGCATCTCGTAGACAGACAGACAGGAAAGTAGCAGCATCAGCCGTAGTGAGGGGAGCGATAATGGGTCTCGGGAGATCTCCGCGGAGCAACAAAAAATATCTTTCTCCTCTAATGAATGAGCGTCGCGAGATGGCAGGCAAACGACATGAAACATGGACGTCCCGGGCATTAATATTCTTATCAAAGGAGACAGAAAACTTTCAAAAGACGTCCGTTAAATAAAGATTGATTGTTGAACTTTTTCATTGTTCTCCTCTCTCTTTCTTTCTCTCTCTCTTTTTCTACCTAATGACGATCATTTCAAAGATGATAATGATGGGAGAAAGTTTTGATGAAAATGTGGCGAAGAGGAAGTACATATGCTACGTCACCTGGACTGGCTGGTTCTGTTTCTCGTCCTCGACATCCACACACGCCTCATCAAATGCCCAAACCAACCTCGAACGATTTAGGCCAATAAATAGGTTTTAATATAATAATCTACTACATTCAAAGCAATATGAACAGCCATCTCATTTAACTTCGACATTTACAGTATCTTGCTTACTTTATTATTTTCATAAGCCGCAAATTATGCAAATAATAAAATATAAAAATTTTTCAGTACACCAACAAGCCCCACAATACAAATGTATATACGGCAGCACTGGCATCAAAAGAAAAGCTTTTTCACAACAACAATAACAACAAAGTAGGTGTATAGCTAAATAAATTCCATAAGCTTGCAAGTACAAACTTCCTAGGGCCATTTAAAAAGGTGTAATATGAAGTTGCAGATGTAATTAAATGTTTCAGTTTTCTAGCTTTGGGGCAGGTGATATTAGGTGTTCATATTGAATGTCTGTCTCGTGCCTTTGTTTGCTTGCTCTAAACATTTTATTGTAAACTTCATCGTATGGAAAGTTATTAAATACTAATAATAATAGCTCACGTTAAAAAAAATCTTTTTAATTATTAAATAATTTTTGTGTCGTGGTTTATATAACTTATTTTTTAAATAATTTAAGTAATAAAATTTTTATTATAATTTCCAATCGACAGTTGTGTAAATAAGAAAATTTTTTGAATTGAAGAAAATGACAGAGGTGGAGCAGTAGGCTAAAACTGTGAGAAACACATGTGTGATTTTGTCGTCTGTGCGAATGTGTGTTTGTGAGTGTATGTCTGTATGTGTCTGTGTTTGTATGTGTTTGTGCTTATAAGACTTATTCACTGAAATAAGTAACAGAAATTTATAGACAGCCAAACAATGTGGAGCAATACATTAAACAAAAATAGAAAAAAATCACCAAACACGAGATATGTGGTGTAATGTTTTAATGACAAAAACTTCAAAAACCCTGATATTTGAAATTTAAAAAGAGTAATTTGCAGAAAATATTGAGCAAATGGATGAAGAGCAAAAGGCATAATTGGGAGAAGATTGGAATGGAAGCATTTGATGAAAGTGGGAACGCGCATGTTATTAAATAGGCGAATCACAAAGCAGACAATGTAATTGGCTTTGCATTTTAAATGCTGCTAGCTGGCACCTGCGTTACTATGTATGGAGATATTGAAGATGTACTTGCCGATGTTGCTATTACAGTTTATGTTAAGGTAGTTGTTGATGTTTTTAATGTCATTTTATAATACGTTTATAATAATTTGTTGTTTGCTCATTTATTGTTTGTTTCTTTGTCAAACTGTTGTTGTTGATACGGGAGACGTAGTTGTGGTTTTCATGTTTTTCTGTAAGAAAGTATGTAAGAAAGCATTATTTTGAAATAATGTTCTGAACTTTTGTTGAATTTGTTGCAGCTGTGTTAGTTGTTGTTTGTTATGTGTTTGTTATTTTTTCGCTGAAATGTTGATGCTTTTAATGTAAACAATGACAATATTTTTAACCTCAAATAAAGTTAATTGGTTTTAAGATAATGACATCAATTTAAATCAAAATTATTTCTAATGTATTTTTTCGTAACTCAACTAAAATAAAAATTAAGAAAATCAAGAAAATGAAACAAAAATTTGGGTTGTGCAAGCAAATAAAAGTTTATTCAAAGATTTAAAACCAATTTCTGAAGAAAAAAATCTGAATCCGAAGCTGACAACACAACAAAACAACAAAAATATCAACTCAAACAATAATACAAACAACAAACAATAAAAACCGTAAATAATAAAGAAAAACTTGTTGATAACAACAAAAACATGACAACAACAAACAACAACACCCTTGGCGCAATCAGACAATACTAATTAACAAGATCTTGATTGACTACGATTCCTACACCACATGTGGCGATATTTTGCTGTTGTTTTTTGTTAAGGCTGCGTTGTTGTTTTTGTGTTGTTGTTGTTGTTGTTGCTGCCACTGAAAATTTGTCTTTGTTGTTTTGTTGTGGTTGTTGGTGTAATTGTTGTAGGTGTCTCAGTCGTTGTTGTTTTATTGTTGTTATGTCAATTGTTTTGTTGTTGGTAACATTTCAAAAAAATTTTTTAAATGTTTTAACAGTTATTACGGTTAATAATGTTTTTCTTACTGTAAATTTTGCTGATAAGAATTTGCAGGTACTGAAATAATGTTTTTGTTGTTTTGTTGTAATTGTATTTTTTCTTTTTTTTTTCGTTTTATTTGTTTGTTTGTTCGTTCGTTTAGTCATCTAAATATTTAAAACATTAATCTCCTCAAATTAGATTATTGTTATAGTAGTTTGTTTGATTAATTTAAATTGAATTTATTTCTAGTAGATTTTTTGATTTTAGTGTTATGTCTATTTATTTATTATTAATATAGTTATCATTATTTATTTTCATTGGTTCACACGTCCGTTTTTTATATCAGTAAACATAATATTGTGAAAATGAATCCATATATTATATTTTACAATTTTAAAAACGCTCATAAACATGAAAACGTCAAAAAATGTACATCATTATAGACTAAAACAACAACAACAAAACCAACATCAACAACATCAAACTTGATCATCAACAACAAAGACATCAACAACTTTAACAACAACTTTAAAAACAACAACAACCTAAAATTCAATTTTGTTCGTCAGTTGCTTTTTGATGAAATTATCAAGCAACTTTAAACGAAGACAACGACAAACAAACTTGCCAAATTGACACGCATCAGCACTCCACTCCTAATGCAAATAACAACAACAGCGGATAAATAGAATGAAAATATGACTCTGTAACAAGTAAATTAATAAACATCCTAGTGCAAACGGTTTCGACAAAATCCTACAAAGATGCAACAAAGATATGAAGCGCCCAAGATAATATTAATGACTTAATTTGTAAAATAGTACCTATGTAGTACACAGGAAGGGTAACAACATCAAGTGGGCCAGTTGGAAGAAGAGTATCAACATCAAGTGGGCCAGTTGGAAGAAGGGTATCAACATCAAGTGGGCCAATTGGAAGAAGGGTATCAACATCAAGAGGGTCAGTTGGGCATCTGCGAGCAGTACCAGGTTCGAATTCTAACAAAAAGATCTCCGCCTATCACATTTATGTACGATGCCTGTGCACTACGGATTCCTCTGAGCCTAGAAAAGTGTAATAGATCTCTACCCCTTTTTTTGAATGGTTAAATATAACCAAATTAAGAAAACGGTTTTTATATAAATTTAATTAATATTCAAAAGTATGCTAAGATTTTGTGATAAATTTTTAGAAAACTTTCAATTCAACTTAACCAAAAATTGATGTAAATTAGTCATTAATGTTTTTGCAAAAGTTTAGTATTATTTAATTTCATCAAATTACTTTTCTTTGAAAGAAATTTATTTTGTTTAAATTTATTGATTTAATTTTCTTTGCAATCGTTTCCGAATCGATCCTTTTTTCGCTCGCGGCTTATTTTCAAGTTCGTAAAATTTTAAAATGGCGTATCAGGGAGCTCAAAAAGTGCAGAAAGTCATGGTCCAGCCAATTGTATCCTTTTTACAAATTATATTTTGTATTCAGTTTGTTTAATTGTTTTGTGTTCAGTTTTTTGTTAGAGATTGTAAGTTTTGTAATTTGTAAGTACAATTCTGGAGACCCTGCTAGAAAGCTTTGTTAAAAATTTGTAAACAGAGTCTTTTATTTATTTTTTGATCATGTATTAAGCTTAATTTATTTTGAGTTTTGTTTATATTTAATGTTTGAATTTTAAAATGAAGCAGGTCAAATTCAAGTTAAATACATATTAATAATGCATGACTGCATCATGAGAATAAAATACATGAAGGAAGAAACCTCACCTAATTAAAATTCTTATTACAGTTTCTACTTTTATGGTAGAAGAATAGAGCAACAAAGTTTAAATTATTCCTGAATTATTTTTAGTTAATTTTTACAAGCAAACTTTCACTATTCTATAATAGGTTAATGTTAATAATAGGTTAATGTTAATAATTGTTAATATTTAATAAAATAAATAAATACTAATAAATTAGGAACGTGATCATAAATGATCAAAAAGCCAAGATATACTTTTATAGTTTATACTCACATCATTTTCAATGCTAGATTAATCTAAGATTGCTTATGGCTTTCATTTTAAATTATATTGTTTAATAAATGTTGTTTATTATTTATTTTTAATCCTAAATTTCCAGTATTTTTCTTAACTTTGGTTTTTTCAGAACTTGATTTTTAGATACCTTCAAAATGTTAGTTTTTTCTTTTTTAATTAATGAATGTAATAAATGAATTAAAAAATTAATTAATTATGAAAAAATGTATATTGAAAAATGTTTTAGAAGGAAGTCCTATCAAATTGTAAAAATTATTGTAATTATTTTTTTTCTTGCATATTATCTTGTTTATAATTCTACTTAAACAACATCTTTAGTTTATTTTATTAACACAATAATCTTGTAATTATTTTAATAATTAAATAAATATTACAATTAATATTTTCCCTTGCAGAGATCTCGCATACAAGTTTGGCTGTACGAGCAGACGAATTTGAGAATCGAAGGCTGTATCATTGTGAGCATGTTTTCAAATTTTTAATTTATATTATTAGGGAATAATAATTAGATTAAATTAAAATTATTTTGTCGTTAGCAAAACATTGCTTAATTTCTTACATTTTATTTTTTTTTTTAATTTTTAAAATTTGTATAAATGTTTACTAATGCTAAAAATGTTACAAATCTAACCTGTTTGTTAGGCATAATGGTGATTCTTTCATCTTTTATAAAGGTATTAAGGGTAATGTTGATGACTTAAGCTCCTTTGCTCTTTTTGTTTTTACCCTTGTTTAAAGTTTGAGCTAAGTTAGAATTAACATTTCTGAATTTAAATTTTAGGATTGAAACTCAGTTGTTTTTCCAAACATGTATACATAAAATGATCATCTTAAATTGAATTCTGGTGAGAGCTCTAGCCAGATAATCTGGGGCAATATTGCATTTAATTTTTGTAATTTATGCAATCCAGTTATATATAAATTTTTATAAATTTGTTTTAAAAATTTAAAGGGATTCGATGAGTTCATGAACCTGATGTTGGACGAAGCTGAAGAGTATCATTTGAAGACAAAATCCAGAAAAACTTTGGGTTATTGATAATTTTATAATAATTTATGATTTTAGCCACTTTAATTGTTTGTCTGTATTTAATGTATTCTATTTATATTTTAGTTTTGTTTAACTGAAGTTTATTAATTTTAAACTAACTGCTTGCATTTTTGTTTTGTTGAATTGGATGAACCCTTTGAACCATAATATTTTATTGGAATTGATTGACAACTTTCATTTCGATGTTTCATTTTAGGCAAGATCCTATTGAAGGGAGACAACATCACCCTCATTCAGCAAGTTGGCCAGCCCTCAGATATGGATTGATCAGCAATTTTAAATAATTTTTTGTCTGAATTAACAGTTTCAATTTGTTTTTATGTTGATGAATGTTTGAAGCTAACACTGTTGAAAATTTATTCAGTTTGAAGAGTTGAATGAATGCTGATTTTTCCTGTTTATTTGTTTTTGACGTTTTCCAGAACAAATATGTCAATTGTTACTCCATCTTTTTAAAAACGTGATATGTCTTACACTAAAATTAACCTGAGTGAAATTGCGTAAACTTTAGTGAGGTAGTGAATGATGTTTTCCTGTCAAGAAAAATCGCATTGAATTTTAATTTAGGAATTGAAATATAACACTTGAAGATAACTTCCTGAAAGCTTTTGCTTTATAAAATCGTTGAGCTGATTCAGTGGTTAAAAGCTTGCTCAGCATTGCAGTTTCTGAGTTCGAACAAAATTCTCTACCTTTCATATACTTATTTACTTTCGTGATATCAGTTGTGGCTCAGGCACGTATAATCTGACGTACAATCTGATAGGCATTAGTTTTGCCTCGTTGGGATTGCTCCTAAAAATTTTAGGAGTAAACGTGCTCCTAAAAAGCGTGCAAAATTAATACGCAAATCGGATATCCAGCAGCTTCTGGAAGATTAATTATAAAAATTCTCAAGTATAAGATACGGCATTCTATAGAAAATTCTGGGCAATCAATAAACTTAAGTTTTCTTATCTCATGGAAAAGCTTAGAAACTCCAGTCCTCCTTGCAAAACATTTGAGAAAATTTCACGAACCATCATCAGATTGACACGTCATAAGTCAGATTAATTATAGTAGAACCCATAATATTTCTGACATTCATGGTACTCAGGTACTAATTTGTATATACGTAGGTATAAGTTACAACTTGTATCTCAACGCTATACCTATGCCATACCATTGACGTAAAATAATAATATATAACATAATATGATATAGCGTTCAATAGTCTTCTATTCTAAGTACAGGGTATAGCGTAGCATTTTAATTGTGACATAAATGCAATATAATTTTGAAGAAATTTGTTACATAATATTTTTAATGTAATGTATAATATATTTTACTAATCATTTCTCGCTGGAATACACATGCGCATGTCGTCATATGGATTTTACATAGAATACATTTTCTATACTTATACAGCATTGCATATGCCCATGGTGACACATAGCATGGGTGCTACTTTCAATGCATGTGTATTGTATATAGTGTAATATACGAATAAATATGAATGCGTATATTTATCCATGCTTTATAACACGCATATATACATGATATACATATATATATGTATATATTATTAATCCATAATAAATAAATAAATGACATAACATAACCAACTAAATAATGAATAAATATGTAAGCACTGTGCATTGTATTTCTGTTAGTTATCTTATTCAATTTCAAGTGTTAGTCATTATTATTTTACCTAATGTGTTGTTATACCATAAAACAATGATGATGAAGACGACGACGATGATGATGACAAGGCACCCCAAAGCAATACAAATACGATGTTTAATCTTACTAATGTGTAATTAATTTTTAATTAGGTGTCTTTTCGGGCAAATCATCTAGTTAATTTGTATTTGATCTTGATTTGTTTGATTTGAAAAAATTATCTAACATCATGTTAATAATAAATAAATAAACAAGTTTTTAATTAAATTTTTTGTTGAAATGAAGTAGTTAGATCAGCTGATAAAAATCAATCTGTTCTATTTTGTTTTTTATAAAAATTAAATTTGCTGAAATAATCTTCCTCAATTAATAATAATTTCTATGTCCTGAAGAAATGTTTGCTTTAGAAGACCAAAATAATGATGAGTTACCTCATCCAAGACACAAACACAACAACAACCATAACAAGCAGAATTTCACTACAGAGTTTGCTTCATCAGGGGTTGATTATCACTCTGATGATTCCAATCACATTGCTGATTCTCAATTCTCTGTGCAAGAAATTGAAGGTTCATTCAAAATTTCAAAAGCTTTTTGCTGTTATAAAAGTTATATTAATAAGTATTTGATATAGTGTAGAAAAGTAGATTTTCACAGAAAGCCTACTAAACTAAAACATCATATGCAAACATAGAGCTGTGTTATGGTGGGGTTTAGTTTACTTTACTTTACATATATGAAATATATATAGACGTGTATGTTTTTTCTATAGTATGTATTCAGTATTGAAATTCACAGACATTTTATAATACATAGGAATAATATATGCTTGTGTTTAATCATTAAACTTTTATGTTAATGTTAACCCTACTCCTATTTGGGTGATAACCGTATGGTTGTTACATCACAATAATCAGGATAGAGAAATTTTACCACCATATTCTAATTATATTATCTATGATTCTTAGTTCAATAAATTTGCTAAACATTTAATTGTTGTTATGTTTCAGATTAGCTTCGTTTCATTTTGTTATAATTTTTCATATTATATTAATATGCTCAACTATTTTATTTTATGGTTTATCTCACCACATATTATGTTATGTTTTGATTTTTCACTTCACTAACTTAGTTTAATTTATCTTTTTAGTTTGTTTTAATTTGTTCACACAGTTTTATTTTCAATTTCTTTCTTGGCACCTTTTCAGAAAAGTGCTAACAAAGGCTTAATCTTTAACTTTATCATAGATTTTTTTTTTTCATCACCAATATGGTAGAATCTTGTCAACTCCTAGATAAAAGTAATTCATCACAATTTACTGTGGAAGAAGCAATAGATCATATAGGATTTGGAAAATTTCAAATAAAACTTGTTCTCATATGTGGCCTATTTTCTGTGAGTCTTTTAATATTTGAGTAGTAAAAAATTTTCTTTTGTAAACCTTACATTATTTATTGATGCGTCTAGGCAACAGATGCTTTGGAAATGTTGTTGCTATCTGTACTGTCTCCCGAGTTGAGATGTGAATGGAAGCTGGAAGATTGGCAAGTTGCTTCTATCACAACAGTCGGATATCTTTTTATTTTTTTATTTTTTAAAATTTTATTTGGTAAAATTTGTCTCTTTATTTTAAATATGTTTAACTCATTAATTCTTTATCTTATGGTCACTTTTATTCATATTTAATGCTCATATCTGTTATGCAATAACCAGAATTTCAATACATTTGCTCTAATTGTAAAGATCAAAAAAGGCCTTAAATTCAATTTCCAGGTAGTTTTCATTGGCATGTTCTTTGGATCAGCTGTGTTGGGTTCCTATTGTGATAAACTGGGCAGGTTGCCGGTCAGTTATTTCTTCCAGAGTTTGCAACTGAGTTATAGCAAGAATAAAAAATTAAATGGTTTTGATGACTTTTCTAATGTGCCAGAGATAATTTTTATTTCCAGTTATTTTGATTGTTAAGCCAAAGTGTATCATTGTCACTCAAAATAGATAGAATGAGATATCAGGCTTAATGGCAGTATTTTGTCAGAGGTTGCTATCAGGTACTGCAAAAATTCATCATCAAATGTAACTTTAAAAAATTTGAAACTAGTTTGAAATAATAACTATAAATCATTCTAAATATGTTTAAATATGCTGTCATGGATATAAGCACATTCTGTCTAATAGATGTTTGTTGATGTAAATATTCAGCCAGATGAAAAATTTAATAATAATGAAAAAATAAGGAGAAAAAAACATTATGGCTGGTAATTAAATATTTGAACATTTATTAAATTTTTTAAGTTAATTCACTTTTGTAATATCATGATAAATTAGTTCACAATTAAATAAGTTTAATTTTTTATCTATCGTTAAGAAAGGCAGCATATATGTTGTTTTCAATCTGTAGCACAACTCTGATAAATGTTTGTTCAAGTTATTTGAATGACATGATAAGACTCAAACAATATGAATGTTTACTTTTTAGACGCAACAGAACACAGTTGATTGTTAACTACGACCACACAGGTGATGAAGCTAGCTGCTGCACTGATATTATATTTCGGATTGCTAACGGCAGCCTGTCCAAACTATTGGTGGATACTGGTCATTAGAGGTCTTGTTGGGTTCGGATTTGGCGGTGGCATTCAATCGTTAGCCGCTAATTTTCCATACTTTCATTCATTGAGTTAAATTTTTTCAATAATTGCAACAAAATAATTATTTCCACATTTAACACATTTTATAACGATTTCTCGATCAATCATAATGATGAATCCAATGAAAGATGACAAGTACAATTTCTTAGAAATTAATAGCAACGTAACAGGTTATTTATTAGAATTGTGAAACATTCATTGTCGTCAACATCTGTTCCTCCTGCGTTATAATATCATATGCAAGTTGTATGGTAGTAGTAGTAGTTATTAATGCACGCATGCACGAAACGATTTAGGTACTACTCTCAATATTATCGATATTATTTCAATATTCTTAATAGTAGCTATATGTATTGCACACACGCACACACACACACATGCATGTATAGGATTATCTTAATCCTTTTTAAGCATTCTAATAATTTTGAGTAAGTTTAATGATGATGAAAGATGATGGATATTGACATGTGCAATTTTTATCAGGCAGAAATTTTTTGATTTGTCAAATGCAAATTCTGCATTTTATTATTGAATATTGATTATTCTATTAGATTTTGGTTAAGTGCTACTAATTAATAATTAGCACTCGTTGCAGTAGGACTCTTAGTAATTAACATTAATCAATGATAGTATTCAATTGTTATTTTAAAAAATCAGCTTCACACTGCTTTGTGAGTACCTACCATCGAAGTACAGAGCAAAGATATTGACCATGTACAATGTACGTTATTGTTACTTTTTATTATTGTATTCTTTACATTGTTGATCACTAACATTAATTTTTTTAAAGTAGCCAACAGATTTGTGCATTACTTTTTGTTTTTATATTTCATTTTCTTATATTTACAAGTTTTATATTAATTTTGTAAATTGTAATTTGTAAATAATTTCTGCATAGATTGTGTGGAAGAATTATAAAGCATGAAAATTTAAAAAAAATCTTTAATAGAATCGTTTAGCAATGGTTTATTATGTTAAACAGTGCAAGCAGTATTTATTATAATTAATAAGATGATATTGTATGATGATAGATAAAAAAAGAATTGTAACAAACAGATCATGTGGTCGTCAGGGGCTCTCTTTGAAATCTTCATGGCCTACCTGATCATTCCAACACTCGGCTGGAGAGTGCTTGTCATTGTATCTGCTCTGCCAAGTCTCATCACTCTGCTTACTATTTGGGTTGGTTGGTTAGCCGCTTGTTTGGCTGGTAAAAAGTTGGTTGGCTAATTGCCTGGTTTGCTGATTAGCTTTTGGTGGTTGACTGACTGGTTGGCCGTTTAGATAGCTGGTTGGTTGGTTGGTTAGTTGGTTGGTTTGTTGACTGGTTGGTTCCTTTCTTTTATGCTGTCTTATGTAATGCAGAATGATGTGAGTTTTAAAAGTTGTCTCAAAATATTACATTGATTATTCATTTTTGAAATGTTTGCTTAGCACATGTTAGCTGTCATATTCTGGGTACATGTTGTTCTTTTTCATGTATAAATTATTGTCTCAATCTATTACTTTTTTTAGTCTAACCTAATAAACGTCCTACCTCGGGAAACCGGGTCTCTGGACGCAAAACGAAGATTGATTGATGGTCTATTTTATTTTAATCTATTACACTTACTCAATAACGATTTTACAAAACTGTTTTAAACATTAACTGTTGAATTAAATTAATATTTTATAACAGTGATTTTTATTTTATTTTTGTTATAATTCAATATAAGTTAATAATCGGTAAAACGCATCAACTCATCGCATCAATCAGCCATCAAGTGTCAAACTACATCGACCAGCCAACCAAATCAACTAACCAATCACATTAATCATCAAGTCAAGTCATTTGAACCACGCAATAACATCAACCAATCACATCAATTGATCAACTACACTAACCAACCAATCACAGACACTTCCGGAATCAGCTCGTTATCTCTTAAGTCTTGGCAAAACTAAAGAAGTATTGAAAGTTTTGGAATATATCGCAAAATCAAATGGCTCACAGGTTCCCAGAGGCACCTTGATCTATAACAAAAAGGTGTCTTACATTCAATTTGTCAGTTTCTTTTCAATTGTATGAAAAGTAATCTTATTTTGCATTAAAAGGTTTATAATTGTATTTTATTTTTCATTTCGGTCGGATTAAACCCATGCTTTGTTGGTACATGCAGAGATGCTCTTACCATTCTGCATACATCCAGTGCCGGATCTGTGAGCAGTTTTTTAATAAAAGTCAAAAAAAGAGGACCGTTTTGGGTATAAAATCGAACAAAAAAAAGTTGTCAGCCAAACTACCACAAATCTTGTTCTCCCCCGTGAAAATGTTTGGCCCCTGTTAAAATTTAACATTTTGGCCCCGCCCCCGTCAAAGTTGTCTTGATCCGCCACTGCACAGCATACATCGAACCATATGCTAATGTGTTGTTAACAGACGTTTGCTCCTGAGTTATTGATGTTTTCGTCTGCTTCTATTCTACTATTACTATTACCACCTTAATACTTTTTCTACTACTTTGTATTTTTTGTTGCATACGGCTTTTATGATGTAACATCTGTGGTTTTTATATCTGTTACATGTTTTGTCAAATGTTTCATCATTCTATTGTAATTTACAATTAATCTTCACCATCAACCCCATTATGTAACGTACACGTGCAGGATCAAGGAAAAAAATTAAAAAAAAACCAGTTTGCTTTGATGCTTAACATAAACTCGTTACATTATCAAAGGTCCTATGTGTCCTCTACTTAATTTAGCTTTTGTGTTTTAATGGACCAATGTTTTATCTGTTTCACTAATTATAAGATAGGTTGTCGGATTGGTTTATAGGGTTTGGAATTATTAAAATGATTTTTTTTAAATTAAGTCTATTTTTTGTATTCAAATTATTATCCAAATATTAACAACGAAAATTCTGTTACATTTTTTGATATCCAATTTTGTATCCTATACTGTACACTGTCCTAAATAACTAATATGGGATCAGTTTCATATTTTCTTTTTATGTTATTTCTAAATGAAATAACATTTCATATTATTCAGCTTTGAAAATAAGTTAATTGTATGTTAATTGTATGTTAATTGTAGCTAGTGAGAGGTTCCTTCAAGGACCTTTTTAACAAGGAGTACTTCAGAACCACAGTGCAACTCATGATTGTCTGGTTCGGAGTTGCCTTCGTTTACTACGGTGTCATCTTATCTCAGTCGGAAATTTTGGAGATGGGAGGTGTTTGTGGAGGTTGGTGATCTGGCAGATATTGGCATTATTATTTTATTACTATTATTATTATTCATATTATTATTATTACTATTATTATTATTATCTATACTCATATATAATTAATTACATATACAATGTTTGTTATAAATATGTTGTTATAATTTGTGCATTGATTTTTACGTTGATTTTTCAGGTTATGCTATTTATGATGTTTTTGTGCATCGGTTCAATTTTATACTTTTTCATACTTTAGTGAAATTTCTAATAATATTAGAGTATAGAAACTAGTTATAAGTTTTGTTTGCGTTTCTCGTCGTTATATTTTTACATGTCAGTATATTTTCAACTGTTTGGAACAAGTGGAAGTTAGAACATAACTTCATCTCTGCTACAATTTGATGTCATAAATCATTTGGATTAATTAATAAAGTGTTATAAACTAATCAATTTCAAATCAAATTAATCAATAGTATTATAAATTTTGTTTTATTCCTCCTTAACTGTATAGTTATTATATCATTACAATAAGTTTTCAGCTAAATGCAATGCTTTTGAAAAAAGAATCAATGTTTACTGAAATGTTTTTTCCATTTACTATTAAAAATTAAATTGAATCACACTAGTTTTAAAAGATTTTGGAATTTTTGGAATTTTAATGAATGAGTACTTGCCTGATTAATTTTCAGAATGGAAATCGAAGCAAGAGGGATGCAAGTGCTCTCGACATCACTGGTCCGATTACGTCAGCATGATTGTTGCTACTTTTGGAGAATTTGTTGGTAGGTAGGCGTGTTGTTTGCTGTTTATCATTTTGCGCGTTTACCAGTCTGTTCTCAATAATTTAAGTAGACAAGTTTTTGAACTGGCGAATTATATTTAGAATTTAATTTAATTTTTTTCTTTCTGATCATTGTTCATCATAATAAAATCACTCCTAATTGTGAACGTTGATCATTCAGTTTTGCCGCTGAACTTTCTGATGGTGGACAAGATTGGTCGCCGAATGACCATTGCATCCAACTTTTTGATTGCTGGGATATTCTATCTGCTTGTACAGATTTGTGCCAACGTTACCTTACTAACAGCATTGATGTTTGGTGTCCGGACATTCATAACTGGAGTCTTCAACACCATATACATTTACACAGGGGAGGTGTGAAACTCATATCGTTCACTCATATTCACCATTTACTTTCCATTTTGTAGTATGTTTTGAACTGTACACAATTTTTTATTACCAAGTTTGCGAATTATTTATATTTAATCTTTCTTGATGAACGCAAGCAAGTAGATCCAAATTCAAATGTGATTGTGTACGATTGAATTAACTAATATTATAATGTCAGGTGTTTCCAACGACTGTCAGATCATTTGCATTGGGATCGTGTAGTGCCATGGGAAGGATTGGTTGCATGATAACACCTTTCATAGCTCAGGTATCAATAATTCTATTTTAATCACGACTAACGGTAAATATCAATAAAAATTTCAACAGGCAGATCATAAACTGAAAAATATTCGGCTTGTTGCCGAGTTTGTGTAAAACCATTCTAGTATATAAAAAGACTAGTGAAAATGATTTAAATAATGTTGATATGAAAACATGTTCTGTGGAAGATGCGTTAATCATAGGAATTCAAGGCATCTTCATTTTTTCTTATCGTCATTTACCAATTTACCATCACCTGTATAAACAACTCGATCATATACTTTATGCACCTCTGATTTCAGTTCACTTAATAAATTGGGCAAAGACAACGCAAATTATTTTATAATTCCAATTGTTCGTAACTGTTACAAAGAGCAGAAATGGAATTTAAAATTTTTTTGTTAGGTTCTCATGGGTTTTTCACTGCAACTAGCCATCTGGTTGTATGGTTTGCTATGTATATTGTGTGCCATCGTCACCTACTGTCTGCCCATAGAAACCAGAGGAAGGGAAATGCCAGTAAGTTTCGCAATATCTAAACTTTTTAATTTTTATATGACCCCCCTAACAAAAACTTTTTCTAGCAATCACACGTCAGCTGACACAAGTCGAGGCGTCCCTTGAACCGCCAACCGCACATTCTCATTTCCAACCTATGATTAATCTCAGAGATAATCTATTTTCTGTGTCTCGTCTAGTTTACCTAGCTATTTTTAGTGAGATTTGTATATATGAAGCAAAATGAACACATTTAACTGCAAATTATTTTTTATCTTTTAGATTATACTTTCATACAATCAAATGAGTTACGTATTTTTCAAATATTTATTAAATTAAAAGATGATCAACAAATCCATCTTATCAAATTATAGTTTAGCATTAGCAGCTGTCAATCGTATATTTTAAAACTTTCATATTAAAAGTTGGTTCCACATAATATGAATCATCTGTAACTTTTCTAGACATCCCATAAGCACATCAATGGTTCTCAACTGCAAATAAAAATTAAATATTATTATTATACAGTTTATCACAATACTGATATACAATATGTATGAGATACACAATAGTTTAATAACAATCAAAATTAGCTATTACAATAATTTTGAAATAATGAGCTAAACGTACTGTAAGTAGTGTGGTCAATGGCATCAGGTAGTTCGGTGATGTTGACTTCAAACCTCTCCTGCACCTCATTCAGCACCTTGGCATCAGTTTCATCTGACACAAAAGTCACAGCCAATCCCTTTGTACCGAACCTGCCAGCACGAGCAACCTATTTTGAAAAAATTTTAATTAAAATTAGTACAAGGCTTGTTTCAAATTGCAACTAGATAAAACTGATTGAAGAAAAGATGCAAATTTTAAAAATAAGAAAGGTACCCTGTGAAGATAAGTGTCAGAGTTTTCAGGCATGTCATAGTTGAAGACAATGTTGACCCTTTCAATATCCATCCCTCTGCCAAACAAATTAGTTGCAACTAGTATTCTACTCTGGAAATCTTTGAACTGCTGATAACGACTCAACCTGAAAACAAGAAACCAAACACGGTGTAAGTATTCCATCTCATATGAAAATGTATGTCTTAGTAAAAAAAACATGAAACATTAAAAAATATCAATTACCTGTCATCTTGACTCATTGCTTTGTGGATGGCAATGGCAGGAAAGTTTTGTTCGACGAGCAGCTGAGAAAGAGCCACACACCTCTGTATGGACTTGACAAATATGATCACCTGGTTGAATTCAAGAGCATCCAATAACTCAAACAACTTTCTATTCTTTTCATTGTCCTTCAGTTTTACATAATGTTGTTGGAGACCGTGTAATGTTAATTTGGAGTCATCGTCCACGTATACTTCCATTGGCTATAAAAAAGTTAACAAAACAAATATAAAATCATTTCGAAATTAAAATAAAATTCATGATAAAACAAGCCATTTTAATTAAAAAATATTGATATTTGAAAGAACTTCTATCCACAAATTGGGACCAGCATGATAAACAGTGGTGTGCAATGAAGAACACGTTGGCATGGAGATGTTCTGTGGCTATCGCGTGTGCACAGCCATCAACGTACAATCCTTGTTCACAAGTGACACCAGATTGTATGCACGTGTATGATCTTTGTGCATGGTTTCCACACCCCTACAATGTGATCAGGGTGTATCAACCTGCTTCTATTTGTCAAGTACCAGTACATCTGATTATGTAACCTTACCAAAATGTTGATACCAGGATAGAACCAAATTAAATCTTCGGATGAGTATAAACCATTTTTTTACCAATACCTAGCTAGACCAAACATTTTGTATAACCAGATTTAATCTTCAGAGGAATATAAATTGATTTCTTAACAGCACCTAAAGAGTACCATCACACAAATGTGTCCAACGTGTTTAACCATTTTACTCCTAACCAAACCATAAACAACTTTTACCAAAGCATCTAACATCAGCAGGAGAAAAGGAGCAAAAGAGAATTTATGAAAAAAGAGAAGTTTTCTAAAGAAACATTGGGGGTAATTATGTATCGAGTTAGAGCCATGAAGCACCACATCTGCTGTCTTACAATTCGGATAGCTAATTTTATGGTGATGAGATGGTGGGTAAGAAATTTGATGGTGAAACAGAGGTGGTAGAAAGTTATCATTACATCTTGCATGAATTTTTTGCAGACAGGCCTAATATCCTTTCCGAGTGTGGCAGAGAACATCATGACTTGCTTCTCGTGAGGTGTTACTTTGAAGATTTCTTGGATGTCTCTTCTCATATCTGTCAGAGTAAAAAATATTTATGTTGTCAGTGTTCAACAGAATATATTATTAATGTTGTATCAGGTAAAATTAAAAGTATTAATATAAATTCAAAACATATTCAACGATATATAAGCATGAAAGCTGAATGTTGTAATTTTATTGTATCAAAATACACAAAATAAACACTTTAGAAAAATAAACAAACCTAATTGGTCCAACATCTTGTCACATTCATCAAGAATGAAGTGCTTCAAGTGCTTCAGATCCAAATTCTTACCCCTAACCAGAGCAAGAATTCTTCCAGGGGTACCAACAACAATGTGGGGACAGTTGTTCTTCAAAGTCGCTTCGTCTTTTGTTATTGCCATTCCACCGAAGAAGACAGCAATCTTGACACCATTCATATACTTGCTGAATCTTTCGTATTCCTTACTTATTTGGAAGGCTAATTCTCTTGTATGACACATCACCAAAACGGAAACTTGTTTGTCGACAATCTCTAGTTGTTGAAGTGTTGCCAACACGAAGACGGCTGTCTTACCCATACCAGATTTTGCCTGACATACAACATCCAAGCCAAGAATTGCCTGGGGTATACACTCATGTTGAACTGTAAAACATTTAAAAAAATTTAATTAGTACAAAAATTTATTTTATTGTATTTTCAAAAATAATTATGACATTTCATTGAGGTTCAATAAATATGACTGGCAAGACTGTTCTTGGTATTGTTAGATGCATATGCCCAAACTTATAAATTTCTGTATCTTTGTGCTGGCTTAGGGACACGTTTTAATTTAATCAGCTTGTGAGAAAAATTAATAATAACAGTAATTATCATGGACTAATAAAATATTATATCTTCACAGTAAATTTTCATGAATGTATGCAATTTATTTACCGAGTACCTAGTAAATTTTTATAATATAAATATATGCAATGATATTTACAGATAATAAGGGTATTTATCATTTTCGACTGGTGTAGTAATATTTTATTTGAATAGCGGTATTTACTATTTACTGTGGACGTTGTGTGGACTATTTACTGTGGACGTCAAAAGATATTATTATATATTATAAGTTACAACGTGTAACTGTGATTTAAATTTTATTTATTATTTAAAAAATTAATATAAAAATATAAAATTGAAAAAATCATGAAAAATAAACCTTCAGATGGATGTTCAAAACCACAATCAACGATCGCTCTTAATAATTCAGGCTTCAAAAGGAAATCTCTGAACCCTGAACTGTGAATGGACACGTACGTTCCCTTCAGTTCCTTCTTCTGAATGGTTCCGTCGCCGGCTCCATTTGTAATTATTTCTTCCTGCTCATCAGCTTCTTCGTAATCGAGAAGTTCGTCGTTATCGGCCATTGTATTTGATTTTAAAAAAACTTACACGAATCGAGCAAAAATAATTACTACAAATTTAATTGACGCCTTGTTCAATTGAGACCAAATTCGATACGACTAAATCTACATAAACCTATATATACAACAGCGAGACAAACTCTAACAAGGGCCACCGGAAACTAGTAAAATTATCAAAGACTATCAATCGTGTCAAAGTAAACAAAGAACTTTAATTTATTTATTTAATGCTAAAATATTATCTTTATGTTCCACCTGTTGAACATTTTATTAACTTTGTAATTGTTTTATCAAATTTTTTCAAAAAATAATATTAATAAATATTTGCGGATTGATTTTATAGTTCCATATGAACTCGTTAAACAAGTTCAATTGCAATCATGCGGTTCTAGACTGGACTTGTTCTGTCGGATAATCTCATTAAGTCAGCGTATTGTCTTGAATGCATGAACTGTTTGAGGGCCACATGTGATGATCTAAATGGACTTGAAGAGTTATGTTGAGGAAAGCCGATAAAAATGTGACGCTAAGAATTTTAAGCTGTGCATGATTGTGGGATGTTCGTTTAGAGTTGTATAATTGTTGTAAATGATCAAATGGTTTGGCTAAAATGAATGAGGTTGAAATACCTGAGATGTGAATTCAGTTCAGTTTGGAGGATGTTGGTGTTTGAATATGGGCTGATTGAATAGTTATAGTCGAAGTATGATAACGTGAAATGAATAAATGGAAAAATGTTTTGAAGCATTTTTAGTAAAAAATAGAAGGTCAAAAGACATTGTCACATCTTTAGAATGTATCACGTGAGAAATTATCGAGAGTAAGTAGAAAGTTTAAAGAAAAGAAGTAATAGCCAAATATATATGATAAACAAAAGTCACTATTTTTACCTAGAGGTTAAAGCCTATTCTATATACTCAATATACAAACAAATTTTATAAATTTGAACATTTATACAATATTGATAATAAAGTAATAAAGTTTAAGATACGAAATCAAATGATATTAACGTATATGATACATAAATACGCATCATACACTAATATCAATAAAAAGATATCTTATATATATATATATATATACATAATTATTATATAATACATAAATATATATGTTTGTTTAGTATATATTTATATATATACGTAAATATTTTAGATATATAAATATGAGTAGTAAACATCATCGTTCAGTGACTGGGCTAACTGTTGTTGGTTTGTTCTTTGTGTGGTAACTAGAGAAAATGATTCCCAATGTCGGGTCTGTTTTTTGCTATTTTGATCACAATTACAGTCTTGTTTGTCATAAAATTTGTGTTTTATACTAAATTATATCTTTAATTTTAAATTATATAATTTAAAATGCAAGCATGTTATCTGAATAACAGAAATTGTACAACAAACAAAGGTGATCGTTTTAATTTTACGTGTTACACATTTGCACATTGCAGGCATGTAGGCTATAGTATAGATAGAGGAGATAGAATAATAGTACAGTTCATTATATGGGACGGTGTATTTTTAATTAAATCATAATAATTTGTATTATATAGTATTAATTAAATATTGCTAATAATAGGTTTAATACATTCTTGCTATATTATTTATTATATTATATAATCATGTATATATTTGTTGAATAATATTAATTTGTTAACAATATTAAAAAAGTTTCAATTTAAATTTCTCTCCCTATCTCTCTACCCTTTTGTTTTGTAAATTTTACACTTAATGTTTTTTATTATGATGATAAATAATATTAAAAGTTTAAATTAAAATTAAATAAAACTTGGTATTATATTTGTGAAGCACCATATCGGCATATCATAATCAAACTTTGATTAAATATTTTACAGAAAACTAGCTGGAAAAACAGTTTTTATAACTGGAGCAAGTAGAGGCATAGGCAAGGCTATTGCTGAAAAATGTGCAAAAGATGGTGCCAACATTGTCATAGCTGCAAAAACTGCTACACCCCATCCCAAACTCCCAGGAACCATTTATACAGCTGCAGAGGAATGTTAGTTTGAAATTTTTCACGATTTTAGTATTTCAGTATTTTATATATAACAGTATTGATATACATTTTTTTACATTTAAATGTATCTAATGCAAATTTTTACTATTAGTGGAGCAACTTGGAGGTAAATGTCTTCCTTGTGAAGTTGACATCAGAGATGAGAAGCAGGTGAAACAAGCCATCGACTCAGCAGTCAGCAAGTTTGGTGGCATAGATATCCTGGTGAACAATGCAAGTGCAATAAGTCTCACTAACACTGAAGCCACTGAAATGAAAAGATTTGATTTGATGTTCGGTGTTAATGTCAGAGGAACATTCCTATGGTATTTATTGCATTGGTTGTTTCTTGCATAACTCTTGAAAAATTTAGTGTGTGCTATTTTTAATTCAAGTTTTCAAAATTAATAAATTAATATGCATATTTATTTCATCCATTAATAAATGATACTATTTGGTTTTTTGTAAATCTATATTGTTGAAATTTAATTCCAAAACAGTTCAAAATACTGCATCCCACATCTGAAGAGGGCAAAAAATCCTAAAATTCTCAATATCAGTCCTCCTCTGAGCTTGAACCCTGTTTGGTTCAAAGACCATTGTGGTATGTTGTCATGTCTAAAATAATTTTGTGTTAATTTTAAACTAGGAGAAGTTTTCCAAATAATGAAAAATATTAATTGCAGCATACACCATGTCAAAGTTTGGTATGTCCATGTGTGTCCTGGGTATGGCCGATGAATTGAAAGGTGACCACATCTGTGTTAATGCACTCTGGCCAAAAACTGGTAATTTTGCTGTTTAGCCTAAATTTTTATTATAAGCTGAAAGACTAACCTCAAAATCAATAAAGTTGATTGTTTAATCATCAAGTTTTTCAAGTGTCATTTTACGTATTTTGACATTATTATTATAAAAATCCGGTTTATTTGTTTAGTCAGGTTTAATGATAATTCAACTTTAGTATGAATTTTCAAACTTTCCACCAGCGATCTACACGGCTGCAATGGAAATGTTGGCAGGAAGCAAGGAAGTAATGGCAAGATGTCGCAAACCCGAGGTCATGTCAGATGCTGCTTACGTCATACTCACTAATGACTCCCCCGATAACACTGGTCATTTCTATGTTGATGAGAATGTTCTTAAAGATGCAAACATCACCAACTTCGACAAGTACAACTTTGTTGAAAGTAAGTTTTAGAGGATTCTCAGTTCTCTAAAATTCATCTTTAAATTTTGGCCACGTTTTGATGAAATAATTTTCAAAATATTTCTGTGTTATATTTGGCTGTATTTTGATTCACATTAAATCACCTTTTTCGTATTTGAATTTGTAACATCAATCAAAATTTTTCCATGTTTTTTTTATATGATATGCAGTTTTTACTGATTTTTTTGCTAGCATCAATGATTTTAAAATTTTACCTTCAATAAAAATAGTTGCATACATTTCGAATAATGTGCAATTTATTTGCTGAATATATGTTCTTATTTAGTTTTATAAATTTTATTAAAATTCTACATCAGATCCCTCACTGATGCCTGATTTTTTCCTGGAAGAATACCTGAATGATAAGCATGCTTTCCAGATTTCGAATGCAGATAAAAAAGTTGAATCTGAAAACAAAAGCGAAGATTTGATAAAGAGCAATCCTGAACTTGCCAGAACTCTTGATGCCTTAAGGCAAATAATAACTAAAGATGTTGTCGATGCAGTTGGCTCAGTTTATGTCTTTCAAATTGAAGGTTATTTGAGAAATTTGAAATTTCGATACAATTTTTTTAAGTATTTATCTATCTATTTGATATCGAACTAATTCAGTCTAATTCTTTAAAATCCAACTTTTCAAACAGAATATGGATCGATTTTACTGGACTTGAAGAACGAATCTGGTTCATTGTTGTTGCAAGCTCCGGATGGTTTGACTCCTGATTCCACTTTTATTCTCAATGCAGAAACCTTCGTTCAAATGTTTAACAGACAGTTGGCGCCTGCAGCAGCTTTTATGACAGGTAGGTTGGAGATCGATGGAGACTTTGCAAAGGCTATGAAATTAGAGAAAGCCATGAAAGGGTTGAAATCTAATCTCTAATGTAAAGCTTCAACAATATTACCATTTCATTATTCCTCTTTCTCGTACAATCATTTATCCTGATTAACTTGCCGAATGCGTTTTGATTTAATTACTGTTTTTTATTCATTGTTTCGTAAAAGTAAAACAATATTTACTGTTGTTTATCGTGGTCGGTTTGTGCCTTTTATAACGTTTTTGTAAACAAAACGCTACTTACTGTTTAACGTCCTTATTCTTCGTTATAATAAAAATATTCACAAATTTTCGTTCGAGTGTATTTTTAAACGGTTGACAATATAACTAAATATAACTTGACATGTTGGGTATCATAATAGTTTATACAATCGCGTTGTTCCACCACTTATCTGATGGCATGAGACTGTCGCCGGTCGTCATTTCATGTCAGAATTCAATGGTGATCGATCAACTGAGACTAATTGCAATGAACGGTGCATTGGAAGAAGTAAAAGTGACGTGTCAATTCAAGAAAAATTTAGCAGCAAAGTTGAAAGCATCATGCTCAGGTCAAAATATGTGTAAGGTGTATACACTTGTCACTGAAAAATTTTGGTCCAACGATTACAAGGATAAAAGTTGCTCAGGTGTTTCGAATTGGAAGGTAGATTTTGATTGCATTTCAGATGTAAAATCAACCCATAATCTCAAGTCTCGTCTTGACAAAAATCGTCCACAACATTTTTATCTCAAACGTAATCGAAGTGAGGGCATAGTACCACCAAATGAAGCCAGTGTTTTATCCGGAGATCAAATTAAATTTAACACGGTCAACATCTCAAATGCTGGTGAAGTCGATAAAAAAATTTTTCGCCGTAATTTAACCGACCATGAAAGAGATAATAAGGTAGAGAGGCAAAAGAGAGACGAAGATGACGACGAAGTCTTTAAGAATCTCTTTCAACTTTATTTCACAAACTCCTTTCGATACATTAATTATTTGAAACGCTACGAAGTTAAAAGATTATTTGCAGGTTTGAACGAACACCACGAAAAAGCAGCGTGGTCCAAAGTTTTCTGTCCAACCTCGGACTCTCAGGTCACCAACGACAACAGAACTATGGCACTCTTGAATGCTACGTTAAGTGAACTTTTGCAACTGTACAAGCAAAAGGAACAGGTCCAGGTAAACATGAACAAGATGATGTTGCTGAAAAGCTTGAACGAAATAGAATGTGTGCAGAATAGCGTACTGTCTGATGATCGGCAGTGTCTCGCCGACCCTTCATTGGTCCACAAAAGAGTTTAGATAATATTTAGCAGTAAGATTTTTGTTGATTTTAATATTTGAAAAATTTATATAAATCTGATACCTAATACCGTATTAAATATTGTATCTTAGTTATTAAAATTAATTTTTATTCAATTAAATTACTTTCATTTGAAATTTGAAGCATACAAAGTCGCGTGTGTATTTTGTATTATTAATTCTAAAAAAGACACCTCACCTGACACATGAATATAAAAAAAAATTCTCATGCTATTCCGGAAATCTGAAAAAAAACTCTGTTTACCAAGAGCGACGACATCATTACAGATGAAATCATTGTGCAAGTTCTCATATACAAAATTAAATAACAAAATTCTAATTAAATAATATAAAAAGTTCATGTAACTAAAACTTTCAAAGATTGGTAAAACAAAATGCATCGAATAAAATGAACCAGTGCATATACAAAGTTTCTAAACAATATTACATCTAAATGGTACAATCTTAGACATTAAGAACGACTTTTAATTCATAAATTTACAATTATATAAATTCTTGAAGTGATAAGTAGTTTAAAACACTAAACTTGAGTCGCGTTAATAAGTTAAGAGATAAATGTTCAGTGATAGAATACATTCGATGATAGCGAAAATCTGTTAGGGTTACTTTATTGTCAATGGAGTCAAAGTCAACCCTTCATTTAACCAACACCCAATGTCAAAAACCTCTAAACGTTCTATTGAAAAACTATTTCATTAAAAAAATGAAAATAAATAAATAAATTGATCAGCTGGTTGAAATGGGCTAGCTCTCAAATTAGAATTCAAGTTAGTGAACGTTCAAGTAAAAAATATTAACAACAGCAAACAAACATCGTTCAATGTTGAACCACCATAATTCTCAAATATAATAAAAACGCGTCCATCCTATGTTTTAATTACCTACGTCATGCAAAGAAAATTTGTTTAAAAGTTAACAAAAACACCGAACGACTCGATCTAGCCTTGCCAAAAATTTGAACTCTCGCTAATTTTTTATTATTTCAAACTAACTCTATCTGTACAAACTTATCCCATAGCTGTACAAATATTGAATAATTTGTATTTTATCATTCAGGTACCGTTCAATTATATACGTGGATTAGTGAGATATGCGTGGAAAAAATTCACAAATGAAATGTTTCTAATTAAAAAACATTGTGATAATTTTTGTTATAAAACAAACAACTTACATTCAACGCTCAATAAATTGCTGAAATTACACAAAAAAGTGAAAACTGTTAGAAAATCTAATAATCAACGAACACCGATTGAAGATGAACGCACTAACAAACAGACGTGAATGAGGTGATGAATGAATGATTAAATGATGGAAAAAATTGAATGAGTGATTGAAAAAACGAAAAAACGAATAAGAGAGATATGTTAAGTAAAACGCTCCACCGTTGAAATAGAAATAATCCATCCTTTCATTCATTCATCATTTATTCATTCACTCACTCACCCACTCACTCACTCACCCACTCACTCACTCACTCTCACTCATTCATTCATTTATCTATAGATGATAGTAGTCATTCATTTTCTATAATTCATTCACTTATCCATTCATATATTAATTAATTTATTTATTCCTCTATTTTCTGCCTTAATTCTGGGTCATAAAACTTATGTACAAAAGCTGAATTAATTAACAAAAAACGTTATATATATATATATATATATGTGCGTGTGTGTTTGTGGTGCCTTTTTGTGTATGTGCGTGAAATATTTTTCGCGGTCTTAAATACGTTACAATAAACTAAGAGAAGTTAATAATGAAATAAAGGTACTACACAAAGAGAGGAAAGAAGAAATGAAGGAACTACGAAATGACGACTGAATGAACGAACGTGTTACCTCAGGATCACAAAAAATTAAATAAAATGAAACTCTATTGCTTGAGAGATATATTTTGAGCCAGAATATGAAATTACCAATCAAATGAAATGATTAAATGAACAAATGAATAAATGAATGAATGCATGAAATGAACCAGCGAATGAATGAATAAAATGAATGGATGAAACAAAATTGTATCCGCTAATTATGCAACTCGTCAGGTGGATGCGTGTGAACAGTTCGGAGGTATGAGATGCTGTATTGATTGCCTGGATGGAAATAGAAGGTGATGACGACGACGGTGATGGGAATGTTGACGTCGGTAATGATGTAGTTGTAAAAGTTGTGACGATGATGATGTTGACGATGCTAGCGATTATGACGATATGGCCACTTTTAGCTGTTCTCAATATCGGTGATCACGAATGGATGCAAGCAATCTCATTCTTAAAAAGTTGCTTGTGGCGTCGTGCCTCGTTCACGCACGCAGCACGGCACAGCATGTCACCACATGCTACACAATGGTCTATTGAGCAAACGACTTGCTGATTGCAACCAAACCACACTGACGAGTGTATGTTTTAATAAAATGCTTGCTGAAATTGTATTCTCCGCGAAAATGAATTCTATAAACAATAAGCAATAAACAAATAATTAATATTCCAAGCTAGATGTTACCCAACTGAAAACACGATCGAATGACAAAGTTTGAAAAATCATTCAAAAAGAAATTGCACCCAAATTGATGAAAAAAGAAGAGAATAAACAAAAATAATTTAGTGCGGTGAAGAGTTGAATCTTTATTTAGATAGATAGATAATTCTTCCGGACAAATTGTTTTCAGACAAAATTTGCAAAAGTGAAAACGTCACTAAACAAAACAATCGCAACAACATAAAAATATTTCAATAATTAAACGTTGCAATAGAAATATTTAAAGTAACTGAAAACATTGGGAAGGAGAAATACGCAGCGTGTGGAGACAAGTGCACGAATAATGCATTAATAATAATATCATTTAATCATTTAATAACATTTTAACGACAAATAAAACAATTGTTATCAATATATCAATACACCAGCAAATAGGATATCAATTTGTCATATGTATATATATATATATATATATATATATATATATATATATATTACTATATTATATACTAACATTTTAACAAACATATATCAATTTATCAATAAAACGTATTAATATAATGATATACATATTTGTCGATAAATTAAATACATATACCTATAGATACGTTGAATACACATAAAATAATAAGGGTATCCGGTACATCAAGAAAACTATGTAAGCCTTTGTACGCTGTTAAATGAAAATGCAAATTGTGAGTGTCACGTAACCTTGCCAGCCTTTTATACTGCTTTTCTGTGTATTGTCTTCTGGAATTTTGTTGCATGTTTGGGTATTTTGTGTTTGTATGTTGCTGTTGTATTTGTGTTTGTGTCCTTATGTTACTGCACGTTTGAATGATAGATTTGTGTGGGTTTCAGGTTTGTTGTCGTATCATAGAGGAAATTGTATGTAGAGGCATGATTTTGTCGATTGCTTTACATGAATGCATGCATTGTTGTGCACAGTTGCGTGAATACAACATATTTAAGTGTGTTGTGTTATATTTATATGTGCAGTCGATATTTCACACAATTCATCAATTTTTTAGCGAAACCATTTCATGAAAAAAACCAGGAATTCAACTTGCATTCGGTTTGTATTTTTGAACGTGCAGTGAGTTGTTGTTGTGTACGAGCAAGGAGTTGTTGTGTAACCTCAGTAAAGAGTGAACCAGTTGGGAGAGGATGGCGCCTTTGTTTGCACGTGTCAGTTGGCAGGCGTGAAGGGTTTGTTGTTACTGGAGTCGGATGTTTGTGATGTTACGCCAACTGATGCGTGCTTGCCTGTCATCGTACATGCCATCGTACATTCATTAATTTCTCTCAGAACGTACATAGCTCAGCTCCTGCTACATGTACGCACATCTTGCTGTGTTATTGTCACATGTAAATTTTGTTGAGGACAGCTCCTTCCTTAAATTATGCAGAGGTGGTTGTCAGAAATTCGTGCTCTGAAGTTTACTATTAAGTCCGTTTGATTGTGTTTGGGAGTGACTCAATGCAGTGCCTTCGTGATGGCGATGATGATGACTATGGTGGTGGCGATGATGATTGTGATAGAAATTACGATGTATGGAGATGACGTAATGATACGAACAACAGTTGATACTAACGATAGTGATGATAGGAAAGTGATGATAACGATGATCATGGTGAAGACGACGACGACGATGATGATGACAGTTTGACGTGAAAGGTGTAATAGCGATGTTGGAATATTTTACAGCGTCATATCATCACGCAAGACACAGTGAGACGTAAGTTTAAACTTGTGTATCTCTGGAAATGTATCTTTGATCTGTACGCTCCAAAAACACATACACACACGTGCACACATTCACGTACACGTACGTGCACACATACACGTACATACACATGTATACTCGTTTTCGTATTATTGCTCACACATGTTTACACATTTTCACATACTCCCAGTCGAGCTTACATGAATTTGAATTTATATATAAGTGCATGTGTCATGCATGTGTGTGTGTGTGCGCGCGTGTGCGTGTGTGTGTAATTGTGCTGTATTAATGATTGATGTTGTGTTGTTGTTTTACGGACACCCTGTTCGAAGTAATCACCGAACTCAACTGGTGGTGGAGTCAATCATCTGAGTGAATCGCAACAGCTGGATGAACTCTGAAAATTTGAATTGAACGTTTTAAAATTATTATTTCAACTTGACTGATCATCAGCATCAATTTTTAACAAAAACCATTTTGTTGGTAACTTCAAATGATGATCAATTCATTTAATTCAGTTGGTATCGTTTCACCAAGCAAAGTTTTTCAACTTTCGAACAGTTGTGAAACCACCATCATCAACGAACACCGGCGTTTAAATGTCAATCCAATAAACCGTGTCATCTAGCACATGGCATGATTTTAAAAGCCTAACTTATAACTTACAAGATGGAATGTTTGAAAAGTAGAAGAAAATATTAAGATATGTACTGTACATATTTATAGTAAATACTTATTTTATACGTATACAAGCAAGCAAGCAAAAAACAAGCAAGCAAACAAACAAACAAACAAACATCCTATTGAAGATACACACACATACATACCTTAACAATTACATTTTCAAAGATGTTTTTGTTTTATTATTTTTTTTACCTCACTCAAAGATACCAACGGCACGTTTCTAGCATACGTAAATATCTATGAATAAACGCATCCAACTTATTTTGCGTATGATACGCAGGTATCACTTTGAAACCGCAACTTGAAAACGACCTCCATTCACAACTACTCCCTATCGACGTAATATAGACATCTAAGATATTTCAGACACAGCAAACCTTCATAGTCAACTTTTCCATCGCCATTCTTATCGACGGCCAGTATCATGGCTTCCACATCCTTATCGGTGAGTACTTCTTCCAGGTTCTGCATCGTCTGCTTCAATTCCTGGGCGTCAATCAGCCCGTTGCCGTCGATGTCAAAAATTTTGAAAGCCGACCTCATTTCGTCCTCAACCGATTGAGTTCGTATTAAAGATGTTTGCCGGAATGGTTGTTGTGAATGTTGCTGTTGCGCTTGACGTTGATGTGGTTGTTGTGGTTGCTGCTGAAGTTGTGGCTGTTGTTGCGTTTCTTGTTGCCATGTTTGAACTTGCTGAACGTGTTTTTGAATTTGTTGAGCAGATTGTTGATATGGTTGTTGTCGATTTTGTTGAGATGATATTGTTGCGTTATTTGGTTGTTGCTGGAACTTTTGATTTTGAGCGAATTTCGAAGTTTGTAACGACGCGATGGTTTGCGTGTTCTGTTGCGGTGTTGTGAATGATTGAGCTTTTGATATTAAAACAACGTTGTCGCACTGTTGAAGTTTCTGTTGAGCAGTTAATTGCTGTTGGAAATCGTGGTGGGGTAATGATGACCTGTTGCCATCACTGCTGGGCTGAGCTGGTTTGTGTCGGTCTTTGCTGTTGCTGCTGTTGCTGTTCGTATGGTTCCATTTGTTGCTAAACTGTTGCTGTGAAGTTTCGTTGTAGGAAGATGTTGACGTCTTTGAAAGGGTTATTGCCGCTCCATTGCCTGTAGCAAAACATGCAACATAATCTTTCTGGAAACTTTCGACTATAATGATTGTGAAGAATAAATTTTGAAAGAGACTAATTGATAAAAAACATACATGACAGGATAGTTATTAAAAATTTTTTTCATTCCATTTCAAATCAAACTTGTCATTTTCTTGGAGAAAACAAACGAAAACTAATTTCTTAAATCGTTCAAATAAAAAAAAACCATGTAACTTCCGCTCAGTGCAAAAATTTAATTAAGTTTAAATGTTTTTTACTCCCAGGGCACAACATAAGTACGTGCCACTTCAGGAATTTGTGAAAATTTTTCAGTGCATTTCGATAGCTTGCATTTATAGGCTCAACTGTGTTTTTGTTGCTTTCGCAGTGTAAACAACAACTACGTCGAAGGCAATTTTGTTGTTAATGACGTCATCACCAGTAACAAGCGACAACAAAAAACGTTAACAGTAACAACATTCGCTCAACAACAACAATTGCAACAACAGCAACAACAATATTACAAGGCATTATTTGCCTCAAAACGATGAAATAACGTATACAACAACAAAAACAATGCGACCAACGACAAAAACAGCAGCCATGTACATGTAAAATAATCAGCACTGACTATGATAAGAACTTGGTGATGACGAGTGGTGGTAGCGTTGACGGTTGTGATGTTGTGGCTGTGGTTGTTGTGGTTGGTGATAGTTTGGATTGAGGAGTGTCTGTGCGGGCAGCTGCGAAGATAGCGATGGCGAATCGATCGTTTGAAACGCTGCTCTGCCTGTGGACGACGATCTCCTTGTTTTGCTTAACTGTGCCACCTGGTGGTGGTGGTGGTGGTGGTGGTGGTAGTGGTGGTGGTAGTCAGGTGAGATAGACGGCGAAACGATGGTGGTGAGATTGTGATGCCGATTAAAACAGTGATGCTCCGATGATGATGACGATGATGAGAATGTTAAAAAGCGATAATGAAGATGGTGACATAAATGAAATCGCTCGGGCAAAAGCTGACGATCGAAAGGTAACGAATTGTTATAAGAATAAATAAAGGCGAGCGAAAACAACGACCACGATAAGGAGATGAAGAAAATGATGGCAACAAAAATGATGATAACAATAAGATAACAACAGTGATGATGATAGAAGTGTTGATAATCCTGATAATGATTGTAACGTTTGTGACGATGGTCATTGCTGACTGTAGTAAAGCCTAAAATGACAACACAGCGGCGAACCTGCTTAGCGTACACCTCAAATGAGCCCATCATCAACTTTGTGAATTCTGCATAGGAATTATTATTATTATTTTTATTATTATTATCATCATTATCATTATATCATCATCGTCAGTATCATTACTACCACTATGGCTCAATGGTTAAAGGCGCCTGGTCTTGTCGTTGCAATGACTGGATTCGAATAGGAAGAGATCTCCGCCTATCATATGCAATGTGTATGATGCGTGGTTTGCACGCGTATTCATATATACTGTGTGTGTTTGTCGTTGAAACCTCTGAAGCTAACGCAAAAGATAGAGAGAGAGTTACCTTTAACCTTTAACTACCACCACCACCACCATCATCATCACCATCATTATCATCATCACCATCATTATTTTCATCATATTTTCATTATGGTGATTAAATTGACAATGAGATGACTACAATGGTGATAAAAAAAGTGATGAACCTTGACGAAGTGTGTACAAGAAGTAATATGTCCTTAACTATTAATTTTGTAAAAAAAAACAGACGGTCAACAATCATTTTTTCTCTGGTCTTCCGTAAATTTTTTTTGTATTTATTTAACTTTTTGTTCATTCACTCATTCATTCAATCTATCTTTCATCTATTTTTAATTCATATTTTTTCAATCATTCACCAGCTTATATTTGATCAATTTTTTAATCAATCAATCATTCATTATTCATTCATTTTTATGACTCCTGTTCCTACCCATTCAAGCCTTTTTTAATTAATTTTTTGTCATTAATTTACGATTATGATTAATATTTAATTATTATTATTTTTTATTATTTTTAAACGATCATCTTTCATTTTTTTATTTGTTCATTCTCTCGTTCGTTCGTTTGACTTTGTTTCTTAGTTTATATGTTTTGGATTCATTCGTTTGTTGGCTATTTCGTTTGACAAAAAAATTGCACCGTCTTCGCTTATTATATCGTTTGTTTATTCATCATCCATCCATCCATTCATCATCCATCCATCCATCCATCCATCCATCCATCCATCCATCCATCCATCCATCCATCCATCCATCCATCCATCCATCCATCCATCCATCCATCCATCCATCCATCCATCCATCCATCCATCCATCCATCCATCCATCCATCCATCCATCCATCCATCCATCCATCCATCCATCCATCCATCCATCCATCCATCCACCTGCGTAATCGATCCTTCCATCTTTGTTGATATCAGCCTGCTTCATCATATCATCCAAATCAGTGCTGGAGAGGTGGATACCTAGATCGAACATGGTCCGGTGCAGTTCGGTCTTCGATATATACCCGTCGGCGTTCCGGTCAAATATCTTTGGTATCGATTTGTTTGTAGTGGTCATGTTGGTCACGTGTGGTGCAGTGCATGTGCGTGAATTGTTATTGAACAGGCCTCAAAATGAAGTGCGCCAGTGGGGTGTGCATGTGTGAAAATGCAAACCTTAAGATGCGTTGCAGTTATTGATGTGCACAAATTTCGCGAAGAAGCCGACTTTAAAATGTGGTTTGTTAGTTTTGCATACTACTGCATACACGTGCAAAAAATTGTGAAGAAAACCTTAAAAGCTATCCAGGTGTCAGGAGGTGGTCCTTTCACTAATGATGATTTATACTGCGGTTGGGCATGAGATTGTTGTTGCTGTTTTGGTTGTTGTTGTTGTTGTTTTATTGGTTGCTGTTGTAGTTTCATTTGTTGTTGTTGTTGTTGTTGTTGTTGTTGTTGTTGTTGAGGTTGGTAAGGTTGAAACATTTGTTGTTCCGACGGTTGTTTAGATTCGGAACGTTTTGTTGACGTTGTCGTTGTTGAAAATGTTGAAAAATTAATGTCAACTACAGGTGATGTTGTGGTTGTTGTTGTTGGTGTAACTTCTTTGTTTCGTGTTGTTGTTTTTGTTAAAGGAGGAATGTTAGTCGATTGTTGTCTTGGTCGGCTGCCACTTTTTGATTGGTCAGCTGGAAATATTGCACTAGATGAAGTTTTTGTTGACGATGTCGGTGGCGTTTTTGCGAATGTTGATGAGGTGGATTTTGTTGCGAATGTTGCTGCTGCTGCTGTTTGTGGATGGCTGCTTCGTGAGCGCGTTGACGCTGTTGCGGTTGTTGTGGTTGTCGTTAACGTCGAGAAAGGATGAAAAACGTGAGATAACGAGGCTGGAGTGTATTCAGAAGATATTGACTCTCTGAAAAACTCCTGTACTTCCAAACTGGTTGCTGTGTTGAAAAAAGCAAACAATTAACATTTTTGCAAACATAAAATGTTTTCAAAAACATACAACTAAAAAAAGAAAAAAAATCCGAATGTTTGTCGCAAAGTTGGCAAAAGATAATTTAAATAAAATGGAAATAATCATTTTATAACTGTTCGGTAGATGACACTGTAGTAGCGGCTTGCTGCCTAATGGTTGTTTATTGTTTGCTTGCGTCTGCTGCTGACTCGAAGATTTCACAGCGGTTGAGGTAGAAAGAGGAGCTACGTTCATTACGTTGGCGGCTTCGAAAGATTGCGGTGATGATAACGACTTGGCTTGAAGAAGATGATGACGATGAAGTTCTGACGACGACGATGATGGCTTTTTTTGTTTGCTCGTTGGTGATCCATTTTTCTTTGCCGTGGTTGTGATGATGTTTTCAGTCTTCGATGTCGTTATGCGAGTTTTGTTTTTGTTGTCGTTGTTGTTGTTGTCGTTGCTGGGGTTGTTGTTGTCGTCGTATCTGTTAGGTTTCTTAAAGCTACCACTGTTTTTATTGCTGGATTCAAGATTTGATCTGATTACGTACTCTTCTTTTTCAATTGGTTCTTTCACTTTTCGTTGGTGAACGCTATTGCGGCTGGAGCGTCTGACGCACTTGCCGCTGTCTTCTTCCTTCCTACGTTTGTCGTCATTGTCATCAGCATCATCATCGTCTAACTCATTTTCTTCCAAATTGTCCATCAGTCTATCAACGTAGGCGTGCTGTCTGGTTAGGGCTGTAAACGATGTTCATGTGATTAGAGAATGTAGTTGGTATTGTGTAACTGATGAGTTGTTGTTGTTGCGTTTGTGTTTTTTGTTTTGATGTTGTTGTTGTTGTTCTATAATGTTGTTGCTGGTTTTGTTGATGTGTCTGTTGTTATTGCTGTTGGCATTTTTTGTGACTGTGTAGCTGTTGTTGGTGTTATAAGCTTCGTTTACGACATAGTTTTCATTAACTTTCTACAACAAAATATTGAATTACTTTCGTAACATTTGTTTAGTTCCTTAAATGCTAAAATTTAATTAATTTTTTAAAGGTATAAAACTAATTCTGAAAATTATATAACAAAACTTAAACTTAAGAATTATTTGAAAGAACATAAAGAATCACCATCTGACAGACGTACTTTTTGACTTGGCTAACTCCCTGGCCTGGCTATTGAAGTCATAGTTGAAACTGCAGTCCGAGTCGAAAGAGGTGTTCTGTGAGGTGAGGATTTGTGGAAGGAGTTGTTTTTTTTTCTTAATTATTATTAAATACTATTCTCTAATTGATTTGATTATATTGATTATTTAAATTTTATTTTCAGTTTTACTTAAGTATGAAGCAGTTTTCATCAGACATGCGAATACGCGCAACTGAAAGAATTGAACAGTTTATAAAAAAAGTTTGCTATGAAAAAAATTAAAAAAAAATAAATTTAGCAGAGAAATGACGTTAGAAGTGAATGTTGGAAGGAAAGTTGTTTGGAATAATTTGTGGCCAATTGATGAATAAGCGCGGAGAAGGCAAGAATGTTTAACATTTGACATTTCATCTAGAAGGCTTACAATTTAAGCTCCACATCATAAAATTGCAAGCATCAATTAGACGTGTTTTTCTTCTTTCTCTTTCTTTTTTCTCTCTTTCACTCCATTTTTATCTCTTTTTCTTTTTAATTCTAATGGCTACACATTTGCTAAATGTATATGTGAATTTGTATTACACGCGTGCATGGTTACATGTTCTCAGTTTTGTCGTTGCTGTTGTTGTTTGTTGTTTCAGTTTTACACTTCAAACAATATGCATGATGAGCAGAACTTGAAATTTGAAAACAAAATTAAGTAGATGGAAAGAGGAATTTTTTGTAGTACAATCCTTACAAACGAATTTTGAAATTTACAACAAGCGCAACTTTGATACAAATCAAGACAAATTTGTTTATAAAATTTTAAAAATTACAAGCTGAACCGAATTAAATAAAAAACAACAAAGATATAAAACCAACATAAATAACGTGTTTAAGGGCAACTCAATAAACGTTCACACGCACGATAACAAACATCATTTTTTTGTACCAAAACAAAAAAAAAACAACTAAACAAGCAAAACAAAAACCAAAACTCTTGCATGTATAAATAGCAGGAAGCAAAATATGCGTGCAAACAAAATATGCGTGCAAATAATTATGCGCAAAGAAAGATTATGAAACAATAAAGTAAACATAAACAACAACACGTGATCAAACATAAGCAACAACACGTGATCAAACATAAAAAAAACACATCACATAATATAAACATAAATGACAACACGTCTAAAAAAAGAAATAAACATAAACAACAAAATGTGACAAGAGAGTAAAATAAACATAAACAACAACACGTGTTAAAAATGATCTAAACATAAAAAACAACACGTGATCAAACGGTAATAGAAACATAAACAACAACACGAATACAAAACAGATGGCCATACAACAATATAATAAGCAGTAACCACAGCAAGAACCAAAAGAAACAACAAAACATGCATGCATGCCAACAACATACAATGGAATATTACAACAAACCACACACACACACACACATACATTCACCACAAACACATTGTACACATAAACGAACACAGCAATGAACACAAAGATATACATAAACAAACAAATACAAACCTTTCTAATTATAAATAGCAAGACAACACACACGAACACATATACGCACGCACACACGCACATAAAACCGAATAAACATCGCACTCACACACACGCATAAATACACATACATGCACACACACAAATTGAATTCTCACCTGGCTGACTGATGCACCGAACTTCCCTGACATAATGCGCAGAAAATCTGTTCAATAATTTTGAGAAAAAAAAATTAATAGAAAAAATTTTATACGAGGCACCTGATGAAAATTTATGTTAATTATGAATGCTGTAACGAGGAATTTTTTTTTAAATCCATAGAAAACTTTTACGATGTCTAAGAAATAATAAGCATATATATTCAAAAATTTGGTTACCTTTTTAATCAAGCAAAGTTTTTATTTTTACTACATTTGGTGAAGTAATCGGAATCCTAATATCAAAATAAACATCAAACAAACGAACTCACCTATGACATCTTATAGTAAGTATATAAGAAGTGGAGTATCATCTCATATCTACCCATTTCTTCTTATATCTCATATCACATCAATTTGTATCATCTCATATTATCTCACATCATATTTTCTGAGGACGAGTGAGTATATGATGATATATATATATCATATCTTGTGACCATGCTATCATGCTGATGTGTTGTGAAATTTTAAAGTAAGAATTTTAAAAGTAATTTTCAAGTCCAAACATTTTTCTAATATTTTAGAGATTTTATTACTTTAAATAAAAAATTTGAACATTAGCCTAATTGATAAAAACAGCTAAAATATTTGGTATTTTTAAAATTAATCGTAAAAATCTTTAAAAATATTCAGTTTTAATATTTCATGAAGGTTTTTAGAGGCGGTTTATTTACACAACCCGCAATGTTTAACAAGTGTGGCTGGAAGACATTCCATTCGATTGTTCATTCAATAAGCAGTGTTTACCATGATTTGATGAGATCTTTTTGAATGATCATCTTTCTTCACAATAATCTTAAGTTGTGTTTTTTCTTATTAAAATACTGCGCTAGATAAGTTAAAAATGATAAAATGTAATTACAAATAAGAATATAACACAAATATTGATCCATAAAATTTGTTTCGGCATTGGTTAACATACTTTTTATGCTGTTTGTGCAATGAACTGATGAAGCAAAAAAACTGCAAATAAATTGGTCAAATAACCACAAATTCCAAGAACCCCAACAACTTTATTTTACGACATTAATTTGACGGTCACTAAGTGATAAATAGAAATGTGATGCAATGTCAAGCGGCTCGGAGTGAGAAGTCAGTCGGGTCATCACATACACACCCACATACACTTCCACATACACACCAAAACAAACTTCCACATTCGTTTATTGGATTAACCAACAGTTTTCATATTCTTGAAATAAGCACCAATACACTTATGAAAAAAATACAGTAATCAGATTATTATTATAATAATAATCTGATTATTAACCGTAACAACTTTGGAAGTATTATTAGAAAGATTTTAGAAGAGGGAGATAGATATTGGGCACATCATCCATCTCAATGACATTTTCAACTCAAACTACTCCTGGTCTCTTCTTTTCAAACTATTTTGGAAATTGGCCAGTTGATTACTATAAACGACGCGAGTTAAAAAATGTTTCTGGGCACCAGTGAACGATTGCAGGTAGTTAGTTGACACCGAATAGCGTAGAAAAAATTTAAAATTTATAATCCAGAAAAAATTTTCGACAAAAAATCAGATAAGAAAGTTACAACCCAAGTTAAAATTAAACGTTCTAATCAGTGAGAAAAGGAAAGTGAAACAATGATTCGAAGATTCTCGCCGACAAGACGTCGTCTGGTCAGAATTTTTAAGAAATTCCACATGTTTGTCGTTATCGGGTTAGCACTGGACATTGCAAACCAAACAGCCAGGATATCTTCAAAATGATTTCAAGATTCATTCATTTTAAAAGTATCAAATCGTGTGTTGCAGTAAAAAAAAATTATTTAACAATTTCAAAGTTTTAAGATGGAAAAAAAACTTCCTAACTTATCAAAAAATTCTTTGTTAATATTTCTTAATTAATGTTAATCCTTGTTTGAAAACACTTTCAAGATAAAAATCATTATTATCCATTAACACGGCAAGACATATTTTGTGCATTAAAAATAATCTTCCTTGTTTGTTTATGAAAAATGATAGGAACACGTTGATACCAAAAATGTAGTTCAACCATTCGGGAGCTTTCATTGATGGAAAGAGAACAAAAAACTGTTATGATTATTATTGTTATTAATGAGCAAATGTTTGCCATTGTTTGTTGACTTTTGCTTGTTGAATTCCATATAATACATTTTTTTGATGGAATGTCCTTGTTAATTTATGTTTTTTTGTTGCTTGCACACAATTACTGTGTGTGTTATGTGTGTGTGATGTGTGTGTATGTGTGTGTGATGTATATGTGTGTGTGTGTGTTGGCCTTTAGCTGCGTGTGCGTGACACAGAACGCCTGTGAATGCTGTGTCTGTTTATGTGTGCCTGCCTACATGAATGAGATCTCCCTCTGTCCGTCTGCATGCATGACTCAGTGAATGGTGCAACATCTTTTGCATTGTTAGAGAGACAGATTAATTGACTGGATAATTGCAAACTTGATTGATTAAAAGATTGATTGGTTGATTTATTGATTGATAACTTGACTGATTGAGCTATTAATTGATTAATTGATTGATTAAAGGACTTTTGAATGATTAAATGATTGATTGGTTTATGTTTTAATTGATTGATATCTTAACTAATTAATAACTTGATTGACTGGTTGATAATTTGTTTGATCAATTGGTCAGTTGGTTAACTGTATAACTACTTTAATAATTGCATTTGATTCATTTAGGAATTTGGATGTTGTTTCTCCATAGCTTGGATGAAAACTGCTGTAAAATAAAACATAGAATTGAACATATTAAACGCCGTGTTGCTGCTAGTTCCTAGATATTCATATTTAACTGGGCTCGATAAATTTCTTAAATTTATTTTATCTATTTCACTATGTCGTAAAAACAATTTTATATATTTCACATGTGTATGTAATGGAACTTTAGAATTTTCATTCATTTAATTTCCTTCAAATATTTTTTATTTCATCAGAGGAGCGAGGAGACTGCGTGGATGTCAATCGAACGCATCCTCAATCACAGGCCAGTGAGGCGCTCAGGTTTTATTGGATTGTCTGAGTGGCAGCATTAATGAGATAAGTTCATGTGGTTTCAATTATAAAAAAAACCTTCTTCATTTGTTTATGCATTCGTTCTTTCGTGCGTTCGTTTTTTCGTTCATTCATTCATTCATTCATTCAACCATTCTTCATTCATTCAATCATTAAAACTAAATTGAAAAATAAATTTATAGGGTTAAACAAATTTGTCTCATGCCATCAAAGAGCCTTTCTTGGTTACGTCTGCTTGGGCGATCAAGAAACGAAATATTCCTTTGATTTTGCGCGATGTAATGAATAAATAATGCTTTTCATATTTCAAATTTTTTTTTGATAAAATTTTCGTTAAAATAAAAAATTGAAGTTGAATAAAAATACATTAATAACAGCGTGGTAAATAATAAATAATTCGACAAATAAAAACTTGAATATTAAAAAATTAGAATTATAAATGGACTAATTAATTAAAGGGAGGAACCTTTGAAAAAAATTTTGTTGGACTTGATGTTCGCCTCTTCCATCATGACCTTCACGTCGTCATCAGTCAGAGGTACTCCGAGGGCTCCAAAGGAGGTTTTCAATTCCAAAGTGTCGATGAAACCATTTCCATCTTTGTCCATAGCCTTTAAAGTCATGTCATGTTCTGTCATCGTCTTCATCATCATCTCCGTCATTATCTTCATCATCATCGTCATCATCATCGTCGTCATCATCGTCATAATTAATAATGCCAGAAGTGCTGTGATGATCGTGAAGATGTTATTTGTTGTTGTATACAAAAACAAAATCATCATTTCATCATTTCTGTCATCGTATCATTTGAAGAAGTACCACCACCACAGCCATCCTGACAATCTACCACCACCACAACCAGCTCCAACAATCTACCGCCACCACTCCAACAATCCACCACCACCACTTTTATCATCATCGCCAGAACTTTCAAAATTTAATAAACCACTGGAGCGTGTAATGGATTCCAATCAATGAAATCTCATCCCTCACAACACTTTCAGAAAAAACCGTCTAACAAGAAAAACATCCAAAAATGAATACGCAGGCCGACATATAAACATATACAGACAGAGATCGAAACACACAGACAGACATACAAATACACAAACAGACATATAAATATACTGACAGGTACAAAAAGACACGGGGATCGAAGCACACAGACAAACAAAAAAATGCTTAAAAAACATTGTAATAGGCAGACATATATTATAATATACAGACAGGTGTAGATATACAGAGACAAACATTGAAATACACAATCAAGCATGAAAATATTTATTGAAAAATTGTGTTCAGATATTAAAATAGATAGACAGACTAGGAAAGACTGACAGACGGATAAAAGAACACAACATTAGTTAGCTAGCTTAACTTGTAAAAAGATAAAATCCGTATAACAGACAGAGAGACAAAGACAAACAATCAAAGAGACAGACAGACAGACAGACGGACAGAACAAAACCCACCTTGAACATTTCTCTAGCTTCAACCTCCTCAGGTAGTGGCTTCTCATACCTTCTCACCAACAACAAGAATTCATCAAAGTCAATCTTCCCGTTTCCTTAAAAATTGTTTTCATAAAAGTTTGATAACAAAATGTTAAAATAAAAAACTGCATAGCAAACATCTGCAAGTTAAAAATGTTGCTTACATATGCATTTGCACCAAAAGATGAAAAATTATTCAAAGCTAAAATGTCATTAGGTAAGTTTCTTCTCGATAATTACAATTGTTTCGGTATTGATTTTAATATTTGCGTTCAACTTTTGTAAAAATAAGTTTTAAATCAAGCGAAAAATAAAAAGAACTAGATAAAAATAATATGCGACGTGGGCGCGAGTGTTTTTCATTTGGTTACAATTTATGGACAAAAATTGTTAACTTGTAAACGAAATTGCGAAAAGAGGATATATCTGGACGAGCAATGAAAAACTATTCAGTCAGTCAATCAATGGAATATTCATCAGCACCAACCACATCTCACATCACAACAAAACAATCCATTGTCAATCAAAATAAGATTATCCCTTTTTAACCAACCGCTCAGACAATTGAAACATACAATTGAAAAACTCGACGATCAACAACTTTCTCACCAAATAATAAACTAATTAATCAATCAACTAACCAACCAGTTTGCCAGCCAGTCAGCCAGTCAATCAATCAGCCAACTAACCAGCCAATCTGCCAGCCAGTCAACCAATCAACTAACCAGCCAACCAACCAGCCAACCAACCAACCAACCATCAAGATCAACTTGTTCGAAGACCTCCTCGATACATTCATGAGACGGACGACTGCCCATACTGAGCAGCACCTCTACCACCTCATCCATCGTTATGTAGCCATCTTTGTCCATGTCAAAGATGGAGAACACTGCTCTTATTTCCGCTGCAAAGTGGCGAGAATTGTTATTTGAATTAAAGATTCAATCGCATCATCATCATCATCATCACAATTACCATCACAATCACCACCATCATCATCATAATCATCACCGTAGCTAACCAGTTTCTTGCTGCTTGGTTAACTTGTTGGTGAAAGATTTTTTCCCATCCGATTGTCTCATCTGATGTGGAAGATATTTATTGAATTTTTAAAATTGAAATAAAAAAAATTGTAACGTACAATTCAGAATTGTATGTTTAAATAACAATATAATACAGCTAAAAATTAAAATACTTTACCCATGTATCTGGTTAAATTATCTGCCATACGAATTTACTGCATGAATTAGGGAACACAAGTTCAAAAGTATTAAGATATATCGACATTTCAATGAATGTTAACGACTACACACACACACAACTCAATATGCAATTACATCAGTTCTTTTTATACACATTAGTAACACAGATATACCTGGCATCGAATTGAACCACAACTTAAAAACTGTCTAGAAATTATTTACTAATTCATAGTTTATAATTACTAATATACTAATTTATAAACTATGCAAACAATTGCTTAACTCCAGGACATGAAATTGCAAAATTATTGCTTTGGTTGAAACAAATTTTCCACTTTTTTCCACAGAATCACCTCCAAACTCAGTAAACAATTTTTTGAATGATCTGAGGTGGATAGATAGATAAATGATCGTAGCGATAACTCAGTGTTATGTTAAACATGCAGCAAGTAACCTGGAAAGTTTCGTAGGAAATAAATTCTCAAATAAATAACATATAAATCAGGTACCTCCATTGCAATGATTGACACAGATTCAGAAAAAAATGAAATTTGGGTTGAGTTTTGTTGTTTGGTTTATTTAACCATATTCTATGTAAAAACAACCGGCTTATGATAGTTATATTTGTGTATACTCTATAATTCGTTACCTAATGAATGTGGTGAAGCTGCTGCCGCTACCAGCATGCTAGATCGCAATATTTCAAAGTCAACGTTAACAGATTGGTTTCGTTCGTGTCCACCAATTGTTATACATTTATTTAGTGGATGGGAATCATTTTTTAAAACATAATACTACTACTACTACTACTAGTACTAATAATAATAATAATAATAATAAAAGATAAAAATACAAAAGAAAAAAAAACATGAGAGCTAGCTGTAACTTATGAGAAGTTAGTAGAAAAAGAGAAGTATTGAAAGAGACGAAAATCCCAATTACTCGCATTTACTTCACCGCCAACGTCAATATTGTTGCCATTCTATTAAGACTAATGATAACCACCAAATACACACACACACACACAAACACTCTTATAAACACCCACACATTCCCACACATGCACACAACACGCACATACACATATGCACACATTGGTCTAAGCGCTGATGGCAAGGACCTCATCATCACCATCTGACTGACAATTACCTAAATGATTATTTCCGCAGTGGCATTCAAGCAAGAAGTAAAAACGTCTCAAAATGGCAACGGCATAAAATGACAAAAATTTAAAACAACTTGTTATCAACACTAAAAGGAATAATATAAATTGTAACAACAACAAAACAACAATAATAATAATAATAACAACAACAACAACAAAACAATAACAATGACAATTATAACAACAATAACAAACAATAAGAAATCCCAAGAACTCAATTTTAATTTGTTCTTGCAATGTTAAGTGCCGATGTCGATGTAAGATAACCTAATTACGACCACCTAATAGTATTATATGCTGGGAAACAGACAGGCAGTTCATGGAACAAGAGTCTGTCTTCTGTCTCTGTCTATCTGTTTCTCTCTCTCTGTTTCTCTCTCACTCTCTTTCTCTTTCCTTCTTTCTTTCTTTTTCTTTTTCTTTCTCTTTCTCTATATTAACATGTGCCTTCCATGCATCATTCATCTACAAACAAACACATGTAAATAAACGTGTTCATTTACGTGCATGCAAACAGACGCCCATACATACAAACAAATTGAAATAATTATACATACACTCTTCAACGAAAAAACATATATACAAAAACATACAAACGCTTACGTAGTTATGCAAACACACACGCACACTACGCATATAAACAGAAACACACACAAAAACACACCTTAAACAAACAACATGAACATATAAGGAAAAAGTCATAAAAGTATGCAAGCAAGCAAACAAACAAACAAACAGACATACAAACAAACAAACAAACAAACAAACAAACTAACAAACAAACTAACTAACTAACTAACTAACTAACTAACTAACTAACTAACTAACTAACTAACTAACTAACTAACTAACTAACTAACTAACTGCTAAACAAACAGGCAAGCAAACAGACAAACAGATGTGTTTTAAATTGCATAACTCTTGACATCTATAAATAATAGATTAATGGATGCAAAGCAAATTAACTTACATGCGTCTGAAATCTTACGCTGCAATTTAAATGTACGTATGATGTATGCCTGTATTAATTATGTGAATGCGATCAAGTTTGTATGCTGTTGTTTGTTTGTATGGTGTTGTTTGTTTGTATGTTGCTGTTGTTTGTTGTTTGTTTGTATGTTGTAATTTGCTTGTATGTTGTTGTTTGCTCGTTTGTTTGTTTTCATATGTGTATGTTTTATTATGTACGTGAGTATGTGTGTGTGAGTTTGCACACAGTAATGTAGTGTATATATGTTTGCAAGTGAGATTTTACGTTTGATATCATAGGCCCGCGTGCTGATACGCGCTGGCGAAATAATTAAAAAGAAAAAAAAAGAGGGAGAAAAAATAAGAAAGTGCATTATGCAGAAGTAAATTGATGACACGCAATTGGAAGAGCGTTTGATTGATGGAAGGATGCCTCGTCATGATTGATTTCACTTTGATGTCCAACTGTTTGCTCCTTGGCTGGCTGGCTGGTTGGCTAGTTGGTTGGTTGGCTGGCTATTTGGCTGGCTGGCTGGTTGACTGGCTTATTTGGTTGGTTGGTTGGCTAGTTGGTTTGTTGGTTAGTTGGTTTGTTGGTTAGTTGATAGTTTAGACGGCTGATTGGATGGTTAATTAATTGACTGGTTGGTTAAATTTTGTTTAGTTGGTTGTTTGGTAGTTTGAATGTTTGGTTGACTGGCTGAGTGGCTGGTTGATTGATTGTTTGGTTGGATAGATGGATAATTGTTTGTTCAGCTTGATTTAATGTTTGGCTGGCTGGTTGGTTGGTTAATAGTTTAGACTGAGTTGTATGCTTAGTGGATCGGTTGATAATTTGGATGGTTGGATAGTTGGTTGGCTGATAAGTTAGATGTTGAAATGTTGAAAATGTTTCCGATGTTAAAATTGTTCATTTTTGTTAGGTTAGTGCTGTTGAAAGGATGTTGTTTTAAATATGGTGGTCTTAATTATTAATAAAAGAAGTAGTTTCTGACTGAACAATTTTTGTTGCTTTGTGACAGTTTAAAAATAATTGTTGGTGCAATTAATTTTAACGTACCAGTAGTTTAAAATGATAGGAAATAATTTACTACAACAGCAGCGAAAGAACATTTTGCGGATCAACAATGTTCCAGGTTGCTCGTTAGCAAAGGTTATTAAAAAACATACAACAAAACACACGCACGCAAGCAAATGAATGCACAAAACATGATCGTTATTTGGTTAATATTGTTAGTTTGTGTTGTTTGTTCGTTCGTATGTGTGTTTGTGTGTGTGTGTGTGTGTGTGCGTGCGTGTGTGTGTGTGTGATTAGGGAGTCAGAATAAATATTAGGTGCATATTAACAGAATGGCTTTAGGACCGAACTCATCACGGTATCTTCACATCAATAAATTAATTCCTCCTTTCATCCGCCAATCCATTCATCCATCATTTTGCGGAGTTTTATGCAGGAAACCGGATGGGGCTTAAATCGATGAATGGCTCCATGAATGGACGAATGGATGGATGAGTGGATGAATAAATGGATAGATTGATAGATGGAAGAATCGATAGAAGAACCGATAAAAGATGCATGTATGGTTGAATGAATAGATGAATGAATAGACAAAAAATGAATGAAGAGATAGATTGTTGAATGGATGGATGGATGGGTAGATAAATAAATAAACTTAAAGATAGATGGACGAATGTCTGACGGAATGAAGGAGTAGGTGGGTAGAAAAATGATTAAATGGATAATGGCACAAATAAAAGCACAAAACTGTAAAACAAACTTATACTGAGATAGCCAGTCAAGAAGTTGAATAGATGGATGCGGTTTTTTCTTAAACATGATACGAGAATTAATAAAACTACCAACAAATAAATATAGAAACCAAAACATTAGACATATGAATTACTAAAAATTAAATAAATTAATTATCAAATTAACAAATTTACAAACAAATAACATAACAACAAACAAGCAAATGAACAAACAAATAAGCGAACAAACGAACGAACGAACAGAATAGGCGAACAAATAAATGAACGTGTGATAAAACATTAATCTTGACGGAGCCCTGTTTACATTGCAAACATCAGCTACATGTAAACATGCAAATATACACGAAACGCATGCGAACACATGCTAATAAGGACGCATACAAAATATCTGAAAATATCTCTACAAACACAAACAAACACATATGAATAGTAATACACGTACACGTAAAGAACGTACGCACACACACACACACACACAAACAAACAAACACATGTACAGATACACACAAACTATCAAATACATACACACACACACTCACTCACATAGGAATAGATGCACGCATAAACATACACACACAAACACAATTATATATATACATACTGAAACATAAGTACCGACATACACACACACATATAAACATATACAAACACATACAACCACATTCCAGTGCATTCGAATATTTCCCACTTCTAAGTCACGCTCGGATTTTGTGGCATCGCTGGGATGTTATTAGGAAAGATAAATAGAAATATATCGAAATGTAAATAAATAAGTTTGTCATTTATACTAACATACATAGCTCTCTTTCTCTCTCTCTCTCTCTCTCTCTCCACTAAACTTCTCTCTCTCTCTGCACTAAATTTATTCATACTAATATATTAATATGTACACATACATACCTGGATATATTTAAGTATACATAATTTTATGAGTATATAATAATGTTCACATTTATCTATTGTAATCGCCTGTATTTTAAAACATCAGACGTAGTTGGGTGGGTGTATTTTTTTTTGGAAAGTCGCCCATTAAACATTTAAATAGTTACTTTTGAATTTCAACTCCTCTCCAACACTTCCCTCTCCAACTCTTGTCATGTTGAGGTGGCTTTATTATTTCCTCATCATTCCATGGGTGCTTCGAACGTGCTTATGTCACTTTTGCTGACGTCACATCCTCATTGAGGCTCTGACGTCATTCACATTCTTATTAATGAACTCTTCAAACTTTTGTCAGGAAAGCAATTATTTTTTCAATCTTCCTTCAAAATAACTTTTTAAAGTTTTCTTTTCTTCATGTAGAGATTTCGAAGTCCAAGAAAAACATTATGTTCTGCTTGTTGTCGTCGGTTCGTCGGTAATCCGAGTGAACGAATTCGTGAGTGTCGGTTCGATATCGGTAAAAAGAACGAGCCATTTCCCGCATGCATGAGAAAACATTGCCAGGAAATATCGCAGTGAAACGTGATACAAAGAATATTTTTAAACAACAATTAGTATGAAACGTTACAAAACATTGCATGCATGTATGTGCGTATGTTGCATGCATGTATGTTGCATGCACGTGTGTGTGTGTTGCATGCATGCATGTATGTTTGTTGCATGCATGCATGCATGTATGTTGTATGCATGTATATACATACATGCATTGTTACATCGTTTCACGATGTGGTTCGAACAAAAATAAAATAACATGATAAAAACCTTCTAGAACGTCTACATTGCACATTTGAAACTATCTCAAACAAATAATTTTATTTGAAACTTCAAAGCGAGAAGAAAAACTTAAAGACAACTTAAAGGTTTCCAAATTTTATGTTTCAGAATATTGAATCAATGGCAACAAACAATAACATAAATGTGAACACAGCAATTAAGAAATACAAAACCAATGAAAAAAGTGTTGAAAATTTAATAATAGCACTACTATATTAACAACAACTCTATTAAACTTGTCTAAGAAGCCAAATGCATTTAACATAACGACAGACAAAAAAAAACCAACAACTGCAATCGCAACAACAACGGTAACCACAACAACAACAGCAGCAGCAGCAACTACAACATCAGCAGTAACAGCCACAACAACAACAGCTATAGAATGAACCAACCTGTCCTTGACCTGATGTTGACTCCAAGTGCTGTGAACTTTGACTTCTGTAGATGCTGCAAAAATCTGAAGTGATGATGATGATGATGATGATGATAATAATAATAATAATGTCAATGATGACGATGGCAATGATTATGTTGATAATGATGATGCTACTGAAAAAGATGATAAAGCTGATAGTATGGATGGCGATGATGAATAAGATAATGATAAAACTTATGATGAAAATAATGATGATGATGACGAAGACGATGATAGTATGAAGATAATGAGGATGATATAATGATGATGATAATGATGATGACATTGATAGTATGAAGATAATGATGATAAGGTTGATAATGATATGAGAATAATAGTAATGATAATAATAATAATGATGATGATGATAAACTTGAAATGAAAGAAAAGCTGCTGAACTTTTAGCAATGATACATATGACTACGAGTTTGCATAACCGTGTCAAATGTTTAATCATTTCCTAAATACCACCACCACCATCATCATCATCATCATCGTTATCATTATCATAACCAACAACATTGTTCCTTTTCCTTCGCCTCATCATCTTCATCATCATCATCATTAACAACGTTGAAAACATTAATGTTTTTTTCTTATAAAAGCAAAAATAAGTATTATTATTTTCATCAACGTCATAATTAAAGTTATTGCCATCTCGCGGTATCATCGTCACTTCAGTTTTTTGCCCGGTGTCACATTTGAAAGAGTCCAAAATGACTTTGCATTATTAATAAGATGGAGAAAAAAGAAGTGAATGAGTGAATGAATGAACAAACGAACGAACAAACGAATGAATGAATGCATGTATGAATGATCAAGTAAATATTTGGAATTGGATGAATGAATAAATAAAAGAATGAATGAACAAATGAATGTATGCCTTAATGATAACAATGAGTGAACGAACAAACGACGAGCAAACGAACGAACGAACGAATGAAAGAACAAATGATGAAAGGAAGAAATGATTTAAAAAAGTATTTTGAAGTGAAGTGAGGCGGAGGGCTTTCAAATATTTATTTGCCTGTCTTTCATAATTTACATCTTGACACTTCCACTCCATTTTTTTCAACCCTTCGTTACTGAGCGTCAAACAAGATAAGTCAGCAGCAGCAAAAGCAACAACAACAACAACAACAACAATAATAATAATAATAATAATAATAATAATGATAAAACATAAACAACAATAGCAGATACGAGCAACAATAGTAAATATGAAAAACGTTGAAAACATCTAAAATTGACAATTTAAGTTCCCATTACAAAAATGAAAACAATGATAGTAACAACAACAATAATAGTAACAACAATAACGACAATAATAACAGTGATAATAATTGTAATAATAATAATAATAACGCTGTGATAATGCTAAGCCTTACGCATATAATAAAAGAAATAAAATAAACAAAAAACAATATGAATAACAAAAATGGTAGTGACAATATATAACAACGTCAAACATTTTTATCTGATCGATGGTAGAGATAAAATCAACAGTTTTCTTCCAAGACAAACTTTATTCGGTGACAGCAATGTTGATCTCGTTAATGTAAATAAATGTTAATGTGTTTTATGTTGATGTTGTAAATAGCATCAATAATAAATAATGGGTGTACAATGTTGACGTCATTGGTGTTGTAGTTGTTAATGCTGTCGTTGCTGATGAGGTTCTGAAAATAATATAGCTAATGCAAATAGATCTTTATTGACACATAACAGTAATCATTGGAGAGAATATATTTCATTATCCTGTCCAGTTAAAATTTGGTTGAAGTAGTTATTTTAAATCTTCATCATCGTTGTTGCTGCTACTTCCCAATTATTCATAAATTAATAACTCAAATGCTGTTAAAATATACAAATTTTATTTCAAAAAATTTTGTTAACCATGTTTAACCATTTAAAAAGGTTTTCTATGGTGGAATTTGCGTGTTAATAGGTGTTTGCGAATGTAAATTAACCTACACGTCAGTGTAATGAATGATGTGAGACATAAGTGAGAGTATATTACTATTTATAATTGTAAGTGCGAGTGTTATGTATGTAGGTGTACGTTATGTTATGTTATATTATAGATTGCACACGAGTGCTTCCGTACTTACCTGCAAATGAAATCCTTCCACTGGGACCAATCTTGGCTGACGTCATCATGGCTTTGAGGTCCTCCTCCGTCAAGGTCAGACCGAGCTGTTGCATGGTGCATCTGAGAGGAATTTGTGGTATGCCGATTGGTGGCGATTTGATTGATTGATGGGACTCTCAATGAAGACGATATCTTGATAATTTTGACGTTACGTTTTGATTGATCTGATTTTTTAGCCTACATTGCATTTATTAAAATATTTTTGGAAGTAATATTTATTATGAGTGCATTAGTTAATATGTGAAACCATATTTTAAAGATTCAATAAACTCATTGACTGTTTAGTGTTAACAATAGACATAAGAGGCAAGATTGAACCAAAGAAATAACGTCAACCTCAAATCATCTGCGCTCAGAAAACCATCCTTATCTTTATCAAAGACTTGAAAGGCGTCAGCCAGTTCCTGCTTTTTGAGGGAACCAACCACCCCGGCACTGCCCACCCAAGCCCCCCCGCTATCTCCACTTTTTTCCATCCTTGACCTTGATTTCGACCCAGCAATTTGATGGTGCTTGTTCATAGCCTGGCAGAACTCCTCGAAGTTTATTGATCCGTCGCCTGAGTGTGCAGACGTTAAGGTTATTTATAAGAGCAAGTCTACACACATACATACAAATTTATGTGTGTCTTTCTACGTTGGTGTGTATGTGTGTACGTGTGTGTACGTGTGTGTACGTGTGTGTGTCTGTGTTCATAAATATAAATGTGGTTACGTGAGTGTATGGTGTTTTGTTGGTTACGGATATGCTCGGCTGACAAGGTTTATGTTACTTGAAGTGTTTTTTGTATTAAGCAAAAAAGAAAATTCTTCCCCAATAAAAAAATGATAATTTAAAAAAACTTAAAATAACCAGCTTATGAACTGAAAACAATTTAAATAAAATGATAATAATAATACAAATAATAAAATTAAAATAAATCACATTCGCAAGTCACACCACTGCCACGATAATAATAACAATAATAATAATAAATATATTAGTGATAATAATATTATTAATAGTAATAATGATAATAATAATAAACCAGCACCGATTCATTCAGTTTGTTGGCCGTCCAATCACTCAACTCACATACAACCAACCGACCGTCTAAATCAACCCTCTTTACGATTTGTTTTACATCTTTGGCTGACACTCTGATGCCCAGAGAGGCCATGGTGTCGTGTACCTCCTGCAGACTGATCAGACCATCACCATCCTTGTCAAACATCGAGAATGCTACCCTCATCGCTGATTGGTTGGTTGGTTGGTTGTTTGTTGGTTGGTTGTAGGATTGGTTGTGTGATTGGTTGGTTGTAGGATTGATTGTGTGATGTGTGATTGGTTGGTTGTGAGTTAATTGTATGATTGGTTGGCTGGTTGCAGGATTGGTTGTGTGATTGGTTGGTTGGTTGCAGGATTGGTTGTGGGATTGGTTGCAGGATTGATTGTGTGATTGGTTGGTTGGAAGCTTGGTTGTGTGATTGGTTGGGGCTTTTTTGATATGTAAGTCTTTTAAATACGTGATTAGTTGATTTGAAATTCGAAACAGAAAAATTTTCAATTCACCCATCATTTCCATTTCCACTCACTCAATCATTTCATTCATGATAGTTCTCAGACAACAAGCATCATACCTGCATTCTTAAACGATTACGTGATGAAACATTTTAAGCGTGCACGAAATTATGAATGCGGAATTAAAAAAAACAAACAAACTTCATATGATCACGTACACATACACACACACACGCACACTCACACACACACACACAGAATATTGACATATTTTTTCATAGAAAAAACTATATATGGAGAAGGGGTTACAAAAACATATGTACATTCCAAAACAACAAATGGCAAAGTTCAATTTAAAGTTACACGAACTACCAACAGCCAGCCTGACACATTTCACTTGCCGAGAATATACTGATTATTTAGTGTAATTTATGACTCTTTCCACATTGCACGTGAATTTGATGTTGTATGCGTATTTGAAATTCGTATGTGCGTCGGTAAATTTGTACGAGCGTTTGTATATTTTTGTGTTTGATCGAGAATGACCGAGCGATGGGCAAAACGCGTGTCCACAAATCAGTTACGCTCTTTGAATCCATCAATATAAAATTTTATATATGCCTATACGGCGTGTATGTGTGTGTGTGTGTGTGTGTAAGTCGGGGCGTGCGTATTTGTGAGTATTTGTGTGCATGCAAGTGTGTGGTTGCATGTTTGTGTTTGTTTTTTCCCTAGGAGATGAGAACACATTCGAATGTGCTACAATTTTTTTCAGATTTTAGAGGTCAAACCGACTCACTCCATAGATTATCGCCGGCAAAAACTTTTCCAATATTTCACCGATCTCTTTTTCAACAATATTTTAATTGCTTCTAATCTAGCTTACTGATTTCAGCGTAATCTAACCAAACACAGATGGAATAATTTAAAATAATAATTGCACAGTATAAACAAATTGTTTATTACATTTCACCACAAAACTTATTTTCTCCAAATCTTGTTTGACATTCCTGCTTCCATCCAATTCGTCTATTTAAATAGTTTTGATGTTTGCCTTATATTTTTATTTCTCTGTTTAATTTTTTTGTATTACGTATTATTCATTTGTCTCTTTATTTATTTGTTTATTCGTTTGTTTATTCACTATTATTTCTTTCACAAATGTGTTAAAGGCAAAAATATAAGTGGCAAATGTTGCTCTCACCATAGAAGGCTCCCATCGCATTGTTCAATACATTCTTCATAGATTTCTTCTTCTCGGCTGTCATCATCATTGTTATCATTTTCATTCCTGTTCCATTTTCATCATAGCACCATGATGTTTTTTTTAAATGATGTCCATTGTTTGGAACTCCTTTTAAAATTCTTATAGCACTTTTATCAAATTCTTGATGAATATCTTTTAATTTATTATTACCTTTGGGGTTATAATTTTGAAAATTTTTAAAATTCATTTTATTTCTTTTTATAAATATTTTTCATTATTAATTCCTAAAACTAAAATTTTATTATTTTAAAATCATATTCTGCCTAATTTTTTCGGAAATAATATTTTTAATAATTTAATTACTTAAATAATTGTTTATTATTAAATGTAGTAGATATAGACTAGAATCAAATTATATTTGGTTGTTTGAACGGAAATATTAATTAATCAGTAATCATTTGAAGTAGTTTTTTGTTCATTTTTTCAGTGGTGATGTTTCCTGGCAAGACTCATTTAATTAAACATTTTTAGAGGAAGTTTGTAAAAATATTCTAGAGAATTCGAGTTCAAAAATGTCAAATATTTTTATACTCAAAAAACAAACTCCAATTTAATTTATTTTAAGATTAATTAAAAATTGATTGACAAATTATTCCACTATAAAACTTTTTAGGTAACGCTTTAGTGTATAATTTAATTTCATTTGTTGCTATAGAAAATTAAAATAAACTAATTTACACAAAGTCGTATTAACAACTAAATACTAATTATTACATAATATAAATACTAACTACGTAAATAACATTTTAAACACAATAATATTTTATGATTACTTTCATTTGAGTCACAACTACACCAATTACAAATACTTCAGTTAAAGTAATTTGTATTACTACTCATCCAATTGCTCTTAAAAGCTCTAATTTTTATTATATTCAGCGTCATAATTGCCTTAGCACAATTATCATTTTTGTCATCCCATCGTCATCGTCATTATCGTCGTCCTCATCACCATCACATTCATCGCTAGTTTTAGCAAATTTTAATTTGAAATAACAACTCTTGCGTGCTGAAGTCGGAAAATTGTCAAACTGGGATTTGAGGAAGCATTTCAGTAAGTTTCAGTCGGGTTGTTGCTGACACGCAATCTCACACCTTGGATGGCTCCTACCGAGTTGACTCGCTGACACCGACCGCAGCGCTAGACGGGGAACGTGGTCAAAATTTAGTACGGCGTTGGGTGTTCTTTTTATTCTAGTACTAATAACATTGTTCTTAATGGTAATTTCAAGTAATTATTACAATTAAAGTTTTAAGAAGGATCTTTCCAAAATTTAAATTGAAAATATTCATATATTCGCCAAAGAAAAAGTTATTGCCATATCGCTTTTGAAAAATTAAGATGGCAAAAAAGTAATTCCATAAACACAAACACACACACACACTCACACCACTCACACACACACACACGCACTCACACACGCACAGCAGAACACGCACACACGTCTATGACGGACATGATGTTGAACAATAAAATAGGCAGTGCTGGGAGCGAGACAAATATTATTGACTGTCTTCAAATGCAATTAGATGTATTCGTGAGCCATTGTGATGCTGATGCTGATGATAATGATACTTATGATGGCAAGGAAAAATCCTTTTTGATGATGATGGTGATGAAAATGTGTAGGAAGAATCGTTGATGACGATGTGTGTGATGATGATGATGGTATTAATGATGATTAAAAACTCTTTAAATAAATATATATTTTTATGGTGCATATTATTTTAACAACAAAAGTATGCGTTTTTCAATTCTGTTTTTCACCGACATTCCCATTACTTATTGAGTTTTTCTTTTTCAAAAAGAGCCATAAACAACACATACCTATAGGATGAACATTATCGTCGTCTTTATCATCATGTTAATAACATAGTGAGCGCAAATTTTACTAAAACTAACTTTATCATCACCATGATTATTATCTCCAGCCCTATCATCATCGTCATCGTCGTCGTCATCATCGTCATTCTAATCATCATCGTCACCATCGCCACCATCAACATCATCGTCGTCGTCATCATCGTCGTCATCATCATCGTCACCCTCTTCATACTCACCATTATCATCATCACCATCATCAACATCACCACCATTAAAGTCATGATAGCCATTAGTAAGAGTCTTCCCCCACTAGAGTTGATAATCTCAGAGCGGCAATTGGCGAGGCCAGTGCAGAGCGTTCACGTGTTTACTTTTCATTAAGAGTAAAATTGTAAAATGAAAAACATACAGCACTAACATAGTCGTCAGTATCCCCTCTGTCTTTATCACCATCACCGTCATCACGTCGTCATCATCACAACATCAACATGATCGTGAATGAATGAGTGAATGAATGAACGAACGAACGAACGAACGAACAAACGAATGAATGAATAAAGAAATGAATAAATGATTGTTAAGCAAAAAAATAAGCGGTGGGAAAATGTGGAAATGGTTGTGAGGTAGACCAGACCGACTTTGTGGAAAAACGAAACCAGCAGCAGCAGCACGATCATGCTCCTCACATGCAATTCTTAACAACACCCGACAAATCTGCCGACGTCATCATCGGCGCTCCGTCGTGACGTCATCGCTGAACCGTTACGTAGTCATTATTATATGGTAAGGTGACCATACATTATTTTGTTGCTATTTAATGCTGTTGTTTTTAGTATTTATCTTTATAATCATTATAATACTCTATTATCGTTGCTGTTGTTGTTGTTGTTGTTATGATCAGTGTTATCATCATTATGACATCATCATGACGTCATCATTGCATTGGCACAAATATGAAGTTAAATGCGTTTCTGGTGCAACTGAACACCAACGCATCAGCAAATAACAACATAATTTAGACTGTTCGCCATTGTAAAACACCAACACATCAGCAAAGGACAAATTAACGAGAAGCAGGCAAACATTAGCAGAAGAATCTAAACGGCCCTCACTAATTTGGATTTAACTCAATTTCACCTCTCTTTACAACGTCCACCCACCCACCCACCATTCAAATGCATATAAAGTGCATATAAAAGTCCTTGCCCGCATTAAAAAAGCCGTTAATAACGTTGGATTAAAAATAGAAATCTGCAATGCATTCAGGCACCACCACAATCATGCTTTGTGTGTTTTTTTGTGTGTTTGTATGTATGTTTGTTGAATTGTTTGTTTGTTTGTCTGTCTGTCTGTCTGTCTGTCTGTCTGTCTGTTTGTTTGTTTGTTTGTTTGTTTGTTTGTTTGTTTGTGTGTATGTTTATTTGTATATTTGCTATCAGATGGTTTTCATTTTCCTGTGCAAAATGTTAATGTTACTTGATTTGCTTGAAAGATGTTTTTCTTGCAGTTGCTATTTCAGTGAAATATTTCCTAATACTTTGGTTGATAACCTTTTGCTTATTCAGAAATTCTTTGGTATAGCCGAGTTTGTCCAGACTTTGCAGGTTCATTTGCATTTTTGGTTTGTCCTTCCTGTTTTTCCTGCCTGTTTCCGCTTGGTGTGATCATGCATGTTTGGAGATGTTTACTTTTTGTTTGTTTGTGTTTTGTCATTTTCGCTTAGTTCCCATTTGTTGCGTTTTTCAGGTTTTATTACATTTGTTCGTTCGTTCATTCGTTCGTTCGTTCGTTCGTTTGCTATGGTTTATCACGTTCGTTCGTTCGTTTGCTATGGTTTATTACGTTTGTTCACTTTTGTTCTGCTTGCCTGTGCGCCTCGTCTGCTTCCTGCCAGTTAAGAAGAGGGACAATTAAATTAAGTTTCATGTCATTACAATTGTCTACTTCCGCTTATTTTTATTTGCTATCTTGTTATTGCTTTAAGTACTTGTGTGCACGCGTCTGTGTAAGTGTGTGTACGTGTGTGTAAGTGCGTGTACGTGTGTGTACGTGTGAATTTTTTGTACATGCTTTGCATATGCGTGCATCTATACTTGTTTTGTGATGGGTCCGGACACATTGAAATGTTATTGGTCGTTTCTTGTGGCAGAATGTAGTAACATGAACAATATTAACGCTTCATACTTAGTATATTGCTAGAAGAATTAATATATCAATGAGTCTTTGCGGGTATTTGCAATGCAAACTACCTGTTATAAAAAAAGACCAAAATCAGTAAACGCATTAAAATCATGAAAAGATTGCTCCGGGCGGTTAAAAAAAATTAAGCTCGATATTTCACAATGAAATCGGTTCAGTTTTTAAAGAAATGGATTTTAAGATATTTCCAGAAGTTTGACAATTTAACTGCGTAGCTATATATAAATATATATCATCATTATTGTCATCACTTTTAAAATTGCCATCATCATCATAGTTGGAAAAATTCACTGCCTCCTTCAAATTCATCAGCATTACAAAGCATCATCATTAACTCTTCAATCACCTTAATTATATTTTTTACACAATTTCTTCACCGTACGCTTCTTTTAACTAGACCCTTTCACGAAACTTGTCACGATATATTTTAATTTCAAAATTCTGGTACCTTAACCCCCAATTTATTTATCATCATCACCATCATCATCTTCATCATCATCACCATCATCATCTTCATCATCATCATCATCATCATCATCATCATCATCATCATACCATCATCATCCTGTCATCATCCTCATCATCATCATCCTGTTTTCCTTACCATCATCATCCTCCCCACCACTACAACCGTCACCATCATCATTTGCTCTGCCATCATCATCCTCCCTCATCATCATTCCCATCACCATCAGATAGAACACAACACAACCTTATAAATGGAACATTCACGCAATTTAACTTTACAGATCGCTAAAGAAACACAGAAAAAAAAAGATCAACAAAGTTATACAAAAATATAAATCAGCAAAAAAAAACGAAAAAAAAAAAATTTCTAAAAAGAATGCCGGCCGGATGGTTGGACTTAAGCTGCCCGCTATAAAACAACATTTCGGTCGTTCAACTTGAGGCTCTCGCGAGACTTATTTTAATTTTAACTGGGGGGAAGTTAAACGAAAGTTTCAAAGTAGTGCAAAATTAACGCATAAACACATTAGCAGCAGCAACAACAACAACTGCATCAACAACAACAACTGCATCAACAACAGCAACAAAAACAACAGCAACAAAACAACATTTTTTTAACGACGACAAACACATCTTCAACATTAACAAATTTTTTTAAATTTTATTCCATCCCCCTTATCATTATTCTACCTCAACTCACCGCCACAAACACCACAATTAATGCCGTCAACAACATCATCGTCATCGTCGCCATCTTCCTAACAATCATCATCATCACCATCGTCATCATCATAATCATCACCATATGAACCTTGCAAATCAGGATCTTCTTCTTCTCCCTCACAAATGCTGTATGTAGAAGGACCTTGTGCATCCCTCTTCTTGAATAATGCCTGTGTACGTGTGTGTGTATGTTTATTTGATTGTGTATGTGTGTGTGTGTGTGTGTATGTGTGTGTTTATGTGATCGTGTCTGTGTGTACGTGTGTTTATATGATCGTTTGTGTGTATATATGTGTGTGTGTGTTTATGCGATCGTGTGTGTATGTGTTTGTGTGTGTGTGTTTGTATAAATGTGTGTGTGTACGCGGGTACGTGTATTTAATTGTGTACTTGTGAATGTGTACCCGCGATTCCCGTTCCCATGCTCACCTCTACTATGTATGCTTATGTGTGCGTGCGTACGTATATATGTTAGATGCTCGTATTAATTTTATACTAAACTACATATATGTGCACGTTTAAGTGTGGTTTTAAAGTTTTTTTCCTGCTTTGAATATACGTTTGCATATTTTGCTTGTCGCCTCACGATATGATTTGCCGTAATTAGCGGAGGTTCCTATCTGAAAAGCGTGGGTTGGTTTCAGCATTTTCTGCCTTGCATTCATTATTTTACAAAATGGTGATGTGTGTATGTGTGTGTGTATTGTGTGTGTGTGTATTGTGTTGTTTGGTGTTTCAGATTGGAGGGATATGATATTTTATTCATGGATTCTTATGTAACTGTTTTGTAAAAAATTTTTTTATGTATAATGATGTTTTTAATAAGATTATATTATTCAGGTTGATACTGTCTCTATCGTGACTTTAGACCAACCAGTATTATAATATAGGCATAACAATAAAGAATAATGATGTTATATTTTTATAGTTGTAGTAACATTCTTATATTGGTTTCTCAGCACAGTGCACAACTTCACGTAACGTTTAGTTTATTTCGCAATTCTATACAGTTAATACAATTCTCTTTCTTATGGCCAGAGTTTCATACGAACTATGCAGTAAATGTATTTAACAACTACTACAATGTATTTAACAACAACTATGCAAAAATACATACCCCCTATCTTTATGTCTGCAAGCTGTTCGATGGAGTCTTGCTTTTATGATTGCATTCTCATGTCGTTTATGTTCTGCCTTTGTGGGCTATTGTTGTTTTAAAACGCCATATTCAATAACATAACTTTGTTAGTGTTTTCTTCTTTTTCTCTTTCTCTTTCTTTCTCTTTCTTTCTCTCTCTCTCTCTCTCCCTCTCTCTCTCTCTCTCTCTCTCTCTCTCTCTCTTTCTCTCTTCTTATGCTTGGTGTAAATGTATGAAAATTATAATTTCAATGTACGATTCTAATCTAGATTTTAGCAAATCAGTTTGAAAATTAATTTTTAACTCTAAAATTTGAACTTATATAAGTTGTTTGACTGAAATTTAAAAAATTTTTTTAACATTTTCGTGGCAGTAGATACTAAAGGTACAATAGTTCCCGTGACAGTTCATTCAACTTCGTGTTTGTGTTAATACACAAAATTCAAAACTGGGCCTACAAAATATGAACTTGGTTGGACATCTTTTCAAAATTAAAAAAAATTTCTTGGTGGTTATCCAAAAAATTTTTTGTAGAAAAGTTTTTTAGATAATTTGTTTCAGCCAATTTCGAAAAGCCATTCCAAGTTTATTATACCTGCTCTTTGTTTTATCTTTTTTTTTTATTGTCGTAAGAACATTTAACAATTTCTAAACTATTCATTGCAGGAATCTAAAAGTTAAATATGCAGAGTGGCGGATTTAGCTGGTGCAGTGTCTCTTCGCTATCATTAGTTCAATTACCATTGTTGTGTAAATATTTTTGAATTCAGCCAACCACCAATTTATATATGAAAATACTGTTTTAAATTACAAACATAAGAAAAAACTGTTTGATAAGTAAGAAATGAGGCCAACAACTAAACTAAGGTACTCTAAAAAAATTAGATTTTTGGTTCTCCCGTCAAAGTGAGCCTCCTGTCAAAGTTTTCTGGATCCTTCCTTGAATGTTCACATTTGAAAAAATTAGTGAATGTAAATTTTCACGTTTCGTTACTAAACCACAATTTTATGAATTTTTTAAAATTTATTTTGTGTGAATATTCATACCGATATTTTGGAGCAACGGGCCAATCTTGTATAATTTTAAAACAGTAATTTTATTAATCAATAAAACATTTTAAAGTTTATTATTCAAGAGTCTTATTCAAGTACGACACACGAAAACGCCAACAGGATATGATACGCTTGATTCAAGGCAGCCCAAACTTGTTGATTATGACAAGAGGAATTCACTTGAAGTCGATCCCAATCACTGAAACATATGAGACATTTGATGTGATGTAAATGTACGTTTTTTTAAAATGTATATTTTACTTCACAACAGTATTTCTTGTTCATTGGTTACAAATAAAAATGTGAAATTTTGTTACTTCTAAAAATTGTATCAAGTTACTACTAACTAAACAGATATGACTTAATATTTTTACGTTATCTTAGAAATTCTATAAAAACTGTTAGCCATTAGTTTTAAATTTACAAAAAAACTTCCTTCCAAACATTAGAATCAGTGCTTTTTGTTTGACGCTTTTATTAATATTTTTATTCCTAGAGGAAATTTGTAATGTTCGTCTTAAAATGAACAAATAAATTTTAGCGTTTTTCTTCAAATAATTTGTTTAAAGAAGTGTAATATTTTTAGTGATATAAATCTTCTTAAAATCTTGAGCCAGTTTGGCAAACGTAATGGCATTGTTCAATTTAGCGGACCCAAGATTCTATACATCAAGCAAAAAATCTTTGGCGCTTTTGCCAAATTTTTTATATTTCACTCTGAGTGTTACAAACTGTAAAGTGAAAAAGAAAGAGGTAGTTATTTAAATGATATGTGATAAATGAGAGTGATTTTATGTATTCTTAAATGGAAATATGAAAAACTTTCGACATATTTGATAAAAATTTTTGTGCATTTATCACAAAAATTGAAAAAATTACAACGAGAAAAAAAATTGAATTTAGAATCACCTACCCTTCTCTGTGAATGACCAATTCTCCCAGCCATCATCTTCACGAAATCTTTTTAAAAAATTTATTCGAATATTATTTTAAATAAAACATAATATTTTATAAATTATATATCTTTTATTTAT